TAATATTAAAGAATATATATATACTTTCCTTAAGTATATTATTATTAACTATAGAATACCTAAGGAAATTATATTAAACTAAGATAAGATTTTTATTTCTAAGTTTTAAAAGTTAATTATAGTATAACTTAATATTAAATAATTAATATTTATTATATTTTACTTATAAATTAATAGATAAATAGAATAAATTAATTAAATCCTTAAAACCTACCTCTATACCTATATTAACTATAATTAAAATAACTAAGTTATACTTTTACTAACTACTTAGTTTACTTATAATAGTATAATTAGAGAAAGTATTAAGGAATCCCCTTTTTATTTTAATTATAGTTTTAAATTAATTATTTATAAAGAACTTTAAGTAGGTCTAGTTATAGTTAAAGCTACTACTTTAATATAGTAAATTAAGGATATCTAAGATAATATATATAAAGAACTTAAATTTATCTAATAATAAATATTAAAGTTTAGTAATAAATAAAAGATTAAGGGATTAACTTTAAAAGAGGGAGATAGTACTTACTTTATATAGCGAAATATTAAAATAAAATAACTAAGTAATAAACTTAACTATAAAAAACTTAAACCTTTTAAGATTTTATAAGTTATTTTACTAGTTAACTATAAGCTTAAATTTTTAGAAACTATAAAGTATTACTTAGTATTCTATATTTTACTTCTTAAGCTAATACTATAAGGATTATAAATAAATAACTTTATTATTATAGAAGATAATAAACTAAAGTATAAAGTAGAAAAGCTATTTAATTACTAATATAGAGATAATAAATAGGAATACTTTATTAAATAGAAAAACTATAGATATAAAGATAATATATAGGAACTAGATAATAACCTATTTAAGTATTAAGATAAGATTAATAAGTATATTAAAATACTTAACTATATTAATCCTAAGAATAGACTAAGCTTACCTATAATTTTAGAAGAATTTAAGGAGTATATAAAAAACACTAATAAAAAAGAAAAATAGATATAAGAGGAAATATAATAGAAATAAAGAGAAACTAAGAAATAAGGGATATAACTCCTATTAGTATAAGTATAACTAAGAGGATACTTTAGATTAGTATAATAGGAAAATATATCTATTTAATTAAGAATACTAAAATATAACTAAGGTTCCCCTAATAAGAAATTTAGAGTACTAGGATTCTAATTAAGAATAGAATCTAAGTCTAATACCCTAAAGCTACCTAAGGACTAAACTTCTAATATAGAAGATTCTATAAAAAGAACTTTAGATACCTCACCTCTTTTTATAACTACTAATATCTCTTTATAACCCTTCTTAAAGACTATTCTCTTCGCTTTATAAATATAATCTAATTTTATAAGTACTTTATTTACTTTAGTTTATACTTTTTATAATACCTCTATTCTCTTATAAAATAATTCCTTAATCTCCTCCTCTTTATTATTTAGATAATAGGACTCTATTATTAACTGCTCTACTATAACTAGTTAGCTAAAGAAAGAAAAGAAAACTTAAAATAGATACTACTTTATACTAATAAATTATATTATTAGAAGTATTATAGGAATAATAAGTACTACTAATAGTAATATACTCCTTATAAACTAATAACCTAGGTAGTATTTTATAGTAAAGCCCTTTTAAATAATAGTAATAATAAGGTATAACTTTAAAACTATTCTTAGTAATATTAAGAGAATAATAATAGTAATAAAGTATAGAAATTATAGGATTTTTAATAATATAACCTAATATAGTATTAATATTATAAATAAGATAAGAAGTATAATTAATAGATCCCTAACTTAAGACTAATAACCTATTTATATTAAGTCTTAAGGATAAAACCTTTAGAGAGGGGACCTAATATTATAACTTATTATATATAAATAATAGTTAACTAACCTACTTAGGTAATAAATAGTTAGGATAGGATATTTATATTATAGGATTATAGGAATAATAAGGACTTACTTAGATAATAGAAGAACTATAGTATAAGTTATATAATAATAAGATAAGACTAAATAAATAGTATAGATTACTAAGTACTTAATAAGGATTACTAAGTACTTACTAATAATTACTAAGTACTTACTAATACTTAGTTAGGAATTAGTAACTAGATAAAAAAACTATTTAAAATTTATATATAGTATAACTTAAGCTTTATTTAAAGTTAGACTTCTATAGTTCTTTAGTAATTAACTTAGTATTTATCTTTATAGATACTCTTAGCTTATTTTTACTATAAATTACTTATTAAGACTAAGACTAATCACTTTAATTTCTAAAGATCTAATCTATAACTAGTTTATAACCTATAACTTAGACTATAACCTCAGTATACTATTATAACGTATTAATCCCTAGCTTCTATTAGTAGACCTTACTGTTAGATAGCTAACTATAACACTATAACTATAATAATTAATAGTAATTAAAGTATTAATAATAGGTTTAATATGTTTTATATGTAATATAGCAAAATGTATATTATAGCGTAAAATTAGCTTTTTTTTATGTTTTTGTATAAGTGGGGAAAAAAAGGGGGGGCGGACGCTGTTAACGTAACGGACTGTAAAATTACTTAGTCACTATAGACTGTAACTAAGACGTATGAACAATTATGCGTAATTTGGATGTTTCCAGCGAACGGAATTCCGAACAAAAAGTATTGAGGGCGATGCAAATCAACGATGTAATTAGGCTGCAGGATCATATTCCTTTCATGATATCTGGATATTAGCCAAGCTGAGCGCCATTTCATTTCGAAAATATTCCTGCCTTTGCCTAATTAAGTGTGCACTATGGATGCCTAGTGCCCGTTCATATTTTCTATGAAGTCCACCTCAAATGGTAATATTGTATCCACAAGCCCTAAGAGCTATCCTTAGCAAAGTAGAAACGCCCAAAGTTTGCATAATAATGATCCGCCAAAATCCATGTGCTTCGTCATCGAAAATCACTGTGATACATGCGATGTCATTGTAAGAGTGCCAAGAGTCGTCGCCTCAGCTACGGGCTCCGAGTTGCACTCCGTTTCAATGACAAGCAGCGGCCACTCAAGCACGCCTCGCCAGTAGCTACCCAAGTGCCCGGCAATAGCGCGAATCATTGAGGCGCCAGCACTGCCGAAGGCCCAAAAGCTGCGGCAGCGGTGCAATAATACACCATAGTAGGCGAGAATGACTAGGGCCTCTGGTCGATGTTTCCGCAGCATGTCAACGAAGCTTCCCTCTATCTTCACAGAAAACGACGAGGCCGCTGAGGGATATTCCTCTTCGTCGAGGCCTCGACACAGGTCGAAGGACCACTGTAAAAGCTCAATGGTATGACGGCATGCCTTCATGCTGGTTTCGCTAAGGTCAGAATCGTCCAAAAGACGAGTAAGAGGATCGCACTCGGTTCCTGGAGAAACGATCTTTTTATGAGCCTTGAGGACAACATTGAGAAAGGGCTGGATCTCGGAGTTGTACAGATAGTCCTTAGCCGGAGGCGTGACGGAGGTGATGCCGCGATTGAGATTGAAACATTCCACAAGTCGATCGATAAATGAGTGGAAGTCGGAGCGGTAGTGCGCGAGAGTGTCGGCAAGAACATGTCTGCCTAGGATGGCAGAAAAGAGGAAGCGAGGGACGGCGGTAGCTTTGTCATCTTTGGGAACCGTTTCTGTGAGGAGAGTGAAGGAGGCAAGAGCGCGTGTTTGTAGCTCTGTGGCCAGGTGTCGGAGACAAACGGCTGATCCAGGATACAGATGAACCATGTCGAAAGCTGTGAAAGCAAGAATTTCATCGAGGAGGTACGGTGAGTCGACAGCGTGGCGGATGGCAATATCCACTATGCTCCGGTTGGGCCCGGTGAAGTTTGGCACTGTGTGGGCATGGTGCATGAGAATCATGTGTTGCGGCGTGAATATTGTCTTGGACGCGACGTTTGGTACACCGATTAAGCCAGGATGGCAATCGGAAGGTGGATGGGAAGCGGTAGGCTCGAGGTCGGCTATGGACGCTTGGTCACCGTGCTCCAACGACAAGGAAATGGTGGGTTGATCTACCGCTGGACCGAGTTCCGAGTGGCTGTTTTGCTGATGAATGGCCAGCGGCGTCTGTGTATTATGCTCTTCCGCATCGTCAATGTTGTTTACACTACCCTCTGTGGGATCGGGTAGTGTTGGACTTGTTGTTGTTGTTGTCTCTCGCCCGTGCTGTTGCGATGCGTGCCGCTGTTGCCCTCGTTTCCGCCTCTGCTTGCCCACCTTGGGCGGCGGGAAGACGCATGCACGCTCTGCAACTTCGCAATTTGCGCAAGACGGCTGGCGCTCGTCGCAGCGGATATGGCGACGTTTGCACTCGGTGCACCCGTTGCGAGACTTTTTGTGGGATCGCCGAGTCTCTGTGGTCCTTGTATTTGCGGTTCCGGCAACGCTCGAATCATGCTGACCGGTTGAGGTCTGAGTTTCTCGACCCATGTTGGTGTATAAGCTTGAATGAAGGCGCCGTGGGGTATTAGAATATGTGACGAAGCATCGGAAGTAATTCGGGAGAACGTCGACCCCGTTGATGATTGCAGGCTTGGTTTTGGCCGCTTTAGGCTGCAGCTGTGCCCAGACAACGGGGCTTAGCTGCGGTCCGGGTCAATAGTGCCCCATTCCGCTAATCCGGATCCGGTGGATACAATCTGCGGGTCAGGGCGCCAGGCTTCGGCGCCGGCTTCCGAGCCGAAATGGACTCATCGGCATCTCGAAGACCGTCGTGCTTTACGCGACAGATCCGACATATTCAGTCTGTTGACTACTGGCTTCAGTCACGACTGAATCTTATTTTAAGAATTCCATTAATACTTATTATAAAATAATACTAAATATTAAGCGTCCTTCAGCTACTACTATACTAACATGACATAAACCTCACTAGTTGAGAAGTAATACTTAAGCAGTATACCTACACTACCTAAATAATACAATAATTGCGTTTCTGTACAGCTTCTTCTGCAGTAGTAAGCATATCGTTAAACAATTTGATTATGGTTGGAATAGCAATGTTTATAGGGCGATCGTGCTCTAAATGCAGTTTCCCAGCACGCAGGTACTCCAAGTCAGCTCGTGATGAGATGTTAGAAGGGTTGCACATAATGCTCCGGTAGAGAACTGCAATAGCAGACATGTAGCTAGTCGAATGAAACCTGCTCGGGTCAGAATGGTTGGAATCACTTTGATCAGATAACATGACAAACCCGATTAGGCGCCCTTTCCTCGCCGCTATGTCTCCCGTAGAGCTGCTTTGGTTGGCTTTAGCACGTTGCATCATGCGATTCTGACGGAACGGAACTTACTTGTTCAATATTTTGATGAAACATCTTGCAGCTTCAACGCAGATGACCTCGCTAGCTTGGTATTCAGATGAGTTTTGGTGCGCTACTCCGCTACAAGAAAGCCTCAGGACGGTGCCAGCGAGATGAATAGTGCGCAGAAAATTGAAATACTCTAGGTGGAGTAGCACGACGTGCCAGTAGTTCTCTGGAGAAACTATAATGGTTCCGTCCGGGCGATACGAAGATGGCAGGCTGTCCTTCCACACCTCGAGGCGCTGGTTTGCCTCTGATATGCTGTCTAGCCTGGAGACAAGTGAATGCTTGGTCTGCATCACGGCACAGTACTGGTTTTGTATCTGGCTTAGTTTGTACCACCAATTCGACATTTGCGCACGACTGGGCGGCCCAGAAGGTGAGTCACTTTGAGAATCGTCCAGGTAAGATATATCCTTGTCGTAAAGGCCGCTCGAGATCCCAGGAGGTCGACCTTGAACGAGTGAGAGACTCCTTCTCTGACTTTAGCGATCAGAAAGGGCATTGAGACTTGTACAGCTTACGAGTCGAAGCCAAATAATATGCACCAGAGGCGACTACGAAGGATGATCCGCCGCTCTGAGAACCCCATATCTGTAGGGCTCTTCTGATGTAGACCCAAGGATTGGGCGACTCTGATAGCAAGACCACACAAGACCCAGGCGAACCCTTCTCGCCCAGACTTGGTGTGGATGAATATCTGGGAATATTAGCATGATCAGTGGTAAAAGGCGACGATCGAGGCACCGACATGGAGTATGAGGATCTGCAAGCTGGTCTCACAAGGAGATGCCAGTGCGTCTGACATCATGGACCAGGCTTTTTGATATGAAGATAGGTAAACCCGGTCCATGTCCTCTGTCTGTGTTGAAGTACGTCTCTGGACGAGCGCTCCCAGTGATACGACGAGGTGAAAGAGACAATAGTCGAGAGCGTTGAGTCTCGGTCTCTGCGGCGTGTACATCATTTCCATGCGCGACATAAATATGTCTCTGTCGATGATTGGAAAGAAAAAGGCAACGCATTCGAAAAAGGCTGAGAATTAGTCAGATGCAGCAATTGTTTCACTATCGGGGAGACTTCAACCTTGTATACACTTCGTTGCGACTTCTTTGCTAGGTAACTCTTGGCTTGTAATGTCGAAGAGAGACGACAAACCGGCCTCGTCGACTTGCGGCCCAGCCTCAATAAGAAAGTCCAGGCCGTCAGACTTCAGAGGAAGCTGCTGACTTTTGAGGCCATCCGTAAGGCATATCGCAAGTGTGGCACCAACAGAACCTAACCCTAAGATTGGACGCAATGAATAGATTGTATGCGTTGACTGGATTTCCTTGACTTACCGACGTAGTGCCCCCGACTCTCATTTTTCCGAATGTACATTGAAGGAAATACCGTTCGCTGGAGGGATGCAGTGTTCTCGCTGCGCCGCGTCAACGCCTCGATATCTGGCACTTTCCCGTTTGCCAGGCTAAGTGACGATTTGGCGAACGGTAAGACGTGAGCTGATGTGGAGAAAAGATGGCTCGTCGCGCTAATATCGGAAAGCGGATGTTGAGAAGGTGAATGGCCGCCGGCATCCGTGCAATAGCCTCCGAGAGTGTTGCTCAGGTCTGGCAACTCTGTTGGTGACGTGTGATCGATATCCCAGAAGTTGGACGACACTCCAATACCAAGTTGATGTAGTACAATGCCAAAATCATGGGTTTCGGGACTCGCTTCGAATGCGTCTTCTCGGGGCCAGACAATTGGGCCAGGCAAGCTGTCGTCAAACATGGAACTCGAGTCCGCTGCTGAACTTCGAGATAAACTTATGCCAGAATCATCATGAATATTTGTCGACTCCGAGGTGCTGTTGGCTGTTACCGTTTCTTGCTCAACCTCGAAGGGCCTTCTAGTTTGTCTTCCAGCCGCGCGTAGTCTTCTGTCAGAGGAAATGCACTGAGTGCGATATAATTGACAGTTGAAGCAGGGTCGTTGATCCGGGGTGCATTTTAGCTACCATCGACCTACAAGTCAGCATCCCCCATGACGTAGGACGAGTGAAAGACACTGACCCTCTTCTTGCGACAGTAATCACACGCCCGGGCTACACGCTTCGCGCGTTGTGGACGGGTGCTCGGCGGAGTATTTTCCCTGGACATGATAAGCAATATCCTTTGCATGCCCATCCGCTACGAGCAAGGCGGGTAAGAGGGGACATTTCACATTATATTGCGAGCCCGAGCGACGCGCCCACGGATAGCTCATAAATCCCGGTGCCGTTACCATTCGGCTTGCCTACATCATACTTACAAATTCAAACAGATATAAAGTGCGGAGATGGCAAATATGTTTAATGCAGAGCTACATCAGATGAGAACCCTGGTCAGTGCCAATCCTCGCGGCACCTGTACCGGGCCAGACCTTGCAGAGCCGCTCGTACTCCTCTCACCCGTCTCCACACAACCGCAGAAGCTCTCTGCCGTAGTGATTGCCATTCGGAAGTCTCTGAATGGTGTGGATTTGATACGTAGCGAATTCTTCGCCATTTAGAACACGCCTGAATTTTGTTGAAACCCGAACGACGTTACTGGGCTTTGAATAAGTTAGTACAACGAATCTGAGGGTCCAACCTCCCCTATGCACGAGAAGTTAGTTTCGGCAAAGTATTCTCGAACTCGTCTCCCTCTGAAGTTGAGCGGTCCAGCAGGCTAAAGCACGAGAAATTCGCCCACAACGGACATTAGCAGTGACTGCTTTTCGTCTGTCATGTCGGATACCTATACACCTTTATATAGGGTTATTCTGCTATCTGTTAGGTGAGCCCCACTGCTTTCAGGGTTGGTTGGCGCCTACCTGATCTGCTGAATTCCACTGACTTTCGCGCATCGATGGATCAAATATTTTAGAGTAGACTTGAGTCTTTTTTTTCCCTTTTTTTTGGTTCTCTTTTCCCACCCTTTTGCATCCCCGGATTGAAATTCCAGACTCTGCTGGCTGTCCCTCGCGTGTGAAGAGTGACTTCTCGACCAGGCCCTTTGTTAGTTGTCTGAGAAAACGTCAGCCACGGCCAAAATTGAGTATTGGACGCACACGTACGCTCGGCTCCGCATCCAACAGCACAGGGCCGATGACCATTCTGCGTCGCGAAACAAAAGCATGAAGGTAGAGGTGATGTCCAAGTAGCATGTACGCCCACGCCTCAGTTTTCGAAGCCGTGCCGGAAACCGCAAAGCTGCAGAGCTCAAGGTCAGCTGAGCGACTTTCCAAATGGTTGGAAAGGTCATATAAGTAGCTGCATTCGTCCAGAGTAGCCTGCTTGACAGGCTTATCCCAGAGACTTGTTAGTCTTCATCGCCGCTCGAACCTTGGCGAAGCCGGCCTCACCGAGCGACGCTTGAACGAGGCCTAAGACCGTGTTGACCTTGGCCCTGTCGATATCTTCCAGACGCAGACCCTATCTGAACAAGACAGACTCTGGATTGCTCCAATTCCGCCTTTGCGGACTTGGTCAGTAATTACATGTCATCAGTCTTTCTAAAGGTGGGTAAACCAATTCACCGTTGTCTATGCACTCATCATTCCTTAGAATAGAGATCGTGTATTACGTCTCTTGGCTCCTCATCACCTCAGAAGCGCAAGAAATCTTGAGCCTCGAGAGGCTGCCAGCGTCTAAGCATTATTTTTCCGCCATATCTAGGAATTAAAGGCAGTCGTCTGGGTGTAAGCTCCAAACTCTGCAAGTTTTAGAGACCGACCGTTTGTTGCCATCACTTGTGATGCCGTGGAGCGGATGTTCGAGGCCAAACTTCTAGGAGTCACATGGCTTCTTGACCAGCGGATTGTTGGAAGTCGTCTCCGAGTACCTATAGGCATCGGTGAAATCAGTGCCCTCGAATCGTGACCATTCAACTCAGCCTTTCAGCCTGAAGGCCCACCGGCTTAATTGGGGTTTGGCCAACTCATTGCGTCTATCGGGCACAAAACGAAAATGACCATAAGCGCGTGCTTCGTGTTCAAACTGCATCGTTAGTGTTGACTCAAGAAATCACCAAGAGCTAGGCCCAATGGCTGGATAGAATTGACAAGTTGGCATTACTTGAGCTTCTGGATTGGGTCTTGTCCGTGGATTGCTAAGCCCATGGAACGAAGTCTGGAACCCTTTAACACGTCGGAATGGCTCCGACAACGGGGTGTTTGAATGGTCAAGTTACGCTTGCGAGACCAAGGAACGAACGCCATCGTCAATCATCTTCAAAGTGTAGTAATTCGGACAAAACGCAGATTTAGGGGCAAAGCGTATGCCAATAAGATCGCAGTCGAAGCCAAGAATTTCAACTTCATTTTCGCCGACATCAATGTTACACCAGATGCTGCTCCCTACGACTTCCAGCTCCTCGTTGATCTTATACGTTAGCTTGAAGACGTAGACGCTGGCGGTATCCGAAACGTTGCCCCTGGTATTATTGTTGAGCACCCTGTGCTTCTTCATTCAGTCCGCTCAAGATTGACATCCTTATTTAGTGCTCCATGTGCTGCGCCCAGCACCGCGTCGACGCCGTACCCAGACTCTCCCGCGATTTTGTCAGAGCAGTGAAAAAGAACAATTCATAGACATGTTCAAATCTCTGAGATTTGCCGTCGCTTCTATCTATCTATGGCCCACCGTTGGTCGGTCTCAAGGCATGCCGACGTGCTTGAGTCTGATTAACGACTCTTGAACTTGGCACTGTAGTTAAAGACGTTAGAAACAGGTGCATTAACATGTTTGACTCGCAGAAGAACGGAACCGGAAAGAATGAAGCTCTAGATCCTCTAGTTGGATTCTTTTTGAGTCGGGGTAGTTTTAAGAGGGAATGGAAATAAAATTCGAAATCTATCGTGGAGCCGAAAACTCCGTGATCATGGAGATAATGGACCAGTTCTTCCCTGGCACAAATGCGGCAACCTTTCCCCAATCCTTCTCTCAAACTGTCTGAGCTGACAGATTTCCACCTTGAAATGCAGCCCACGCAGTACACACTGCGGTCTGTCGTTTCCTCTCTGGCGCGGCTCCAGAAAGGTACAAAACTTTGTCCTCGCTGAAACCACCGTCGCCGGCGTCATAGCCGCGCCGGGAGCTATGAGACAGACAAACTGTCACTTCCACGGCGCCATCGGCATTGGGATGTCCGTCGCCGCAGTGCAGGTGGTCCCAAATGCCACGGAACAGGTGGCAAAGTGGAATACAACAGACTTCCCGGGGACATTGAAGTTAGGGCTTTGGATCTTACAGTAGAAATTAACCTCCGAGCGCAGATCCCCGGGAACCACTGACTAGAGGAAGCCTTCCGTGAAGGTTCAATGCCGACTTTCTGTGGGGTCGAGAATCAGACGAAAACTTGAGGTCAAACGACACTTTGCGGTGCTTCCGGGATGTTTGCTCCTTGGATCCGACCTGTAGTTCCTTGGCTTTATTTGGCTAGTTCACAGTAGTTTCCGACGGGCGTGATGTTCCTTCCGTCTGGATTTGGATGTCGTTGCATTTCGGGTGGGGTCTTCAGTCTGCCTCAGTCTGTCTCTCACCGTTTGCGTCTTTGATCTCGCTTCTTGTATCGCGAATCACTTGCAACACCAAGAATGTCTATATGATGAGTTGGCCAGTATGTAGCGTCAAATCAATGCCAGATGTCGTCGGCACTATCGCTGGATACCTGATGCAAAACAGTATGCTTAGATATGTTTACTTGTTGGGTGTACAAGCCAGTTCAGTGGCAAAATTATTGTTTCTTGAAGATGATGAGTAAGTATGGAGAGCTTATGAGCTTTTTTTGATTCAAAATCTGTCACTGAAGTCCAGCCTAATGAGCCGGGAAGTGTGCGGCCTTTCCTGGACGTGCCCAATATTGCCCAGTCGAAGACCTATTGCTTTCCCATGTGTTTGCCGTCTGGACCGTCTAACTGTGCCTCAAACACAGCACTGTGTCCTTCTAAGACACACTGAACAGCTTTGCGCAACGTTTCCGCTAAATCATCAGCTTTGAAAGATCTGAAGCAGCCGACCTCTCCACGTCCAGCTGCGGCAGCGATCCCCGCGTAGTCCGGCGTTGGTGAGAAACTGATGTTAAGTTCTTCTCTAGAAACCTTGAGAGCTGAAGCTTCCGGTCTGGTGTAGAGCAGGGAGTTCCTCGGGGCGTTCCATCCATTGTTGTTCAAAACGATTGTGAGAATCGGAATCTTGTAGCGCTGTGCGATCCAGTAGACGGATGCCGGAAAGGAGAACATATAGGAACCGTCGCCTACGACCTGACAGACGAACTGTCTCGACCCTGTAAAGTCTGAGGCCATTTTCACGCCGAGAGCCTTTTGTTTTGTTAAGCTGAATATTAGCTGGATGCTTAAAATGGCAATCTGAATCTACACTGTGTACTTACCGCTCCTCCACTCCAACCAAGACCACCTCCGCCACTATTGAACCAGGAGCCAGGAGTCGTCAATCGAAGCTGCTCTGCGACGGACTGCGTGTTGGTGATTGCTTCGACGACGAAGATTGTATTCTTGGGAACGGCCTTTCGCAGCTGGTCCATCAAATTCGGGGCGCCGAAAAAGCCTTCAGGTGAAGGCTTTGCCTCATCAGCGATCCTTATCATGCGGTTGGCGTGGGTTTCTTGTAAGCCCAACAGGCGCATGGCGTAGAGAGGCGAAGTGATGACGGACTGTATTTCATCATTGGAAGCAATGTAGTCTTTGATCTGAGTGACGGCCACGAATGCGTTGGCCTGGTATCGATGCTGAGCGTTGATGTAAAAGACTGGCATGTTGTGTTTCAGTGGATCAACATCGACGTGAATGACACAGGCATCCGTTCTGGGCTTGCATCTAGTCGGGATCCATGGAACATCGCAGTCAAGGACAAGAATGACATCTGCAGTCCTGATGTTGTCGTCTCCGGCGTAACCACAGCCGAGCCAGCTGACGTGGTTCGCTGATCGAACAACGTATCAGTTACTCTACTAATCCAAAGGGAAACATGGACAGAATACCTGGAAAACACATCTCACTCACTCCTGCGTCAAAGACTCGAAGCCCTGGAACAGCCGTGGCAAGTTTTACGAGCTCATCCGGGACACGAGTGTCTCTGCCGCTGTATCCCATCACAATAAGAGGCTCTCTGGCATGGACAAGGGAGTTGGCAATTAACTCGACTGCTCCCAGGCTGAGTGCAGTTGGTTCCACGGAAGACCAATGTTTTTGATCGATGGAATAAGGCTGTATCTTGGCGTCGAGAACTTCTCTGGCTGCACACAAGTAGACAGGGCCTTTTGGGTCACTCGTGGCGAAGCTGAGAGCTCGATTGATCATTTGCTATCGCATTTTTAGTTCTAATCAACTCATGTAGCAGAAGCGAGACGCTCTTCCTACCTTGATATGTAGACCAGACCGGACCTCGCCGGTGTACCTACAATATTGTTCGACAATCGCCCTCTGATTGTGGACGTCCTGGAGCCACTGAATATACTCATTGCGAGACCCATCCAGTTCCCCTTCAATAGTGAAGGGAGATAGGCCAGCGAAGATTAAGAGAGGTACTCGGCCAACGGATGCGTTATGCACCGCACAACCTAGTGCTTGGGTGCCGACATCGACGTGAACTATGACGACCTGCGGCTTTCCGGTAACGCGAGCGAACCCGTCGGCCATTGACATGGCAACCATCTACCGCAAACATAAGTATTCCCAGTGATTCAGGTTGCTGGGGTTGGGGAATACGTGCCTCGCTTGGGCATGTGATTATCCTGGGAAAGGCGTCTCTGCGTTCTCTCTGGCCCTTCACCATTGCTTCAAGCATGCCAGGATGATCAGAGCCAAAGTTGCAGAAACAGTGCGTTACACCTGCGTCCCATAATGCCTCGAAGAACGCCTCTGCGGCAGTGTACTTCTCGGGCCCCTCGGTTACGTTGACGTTGGCCATGAAATTTGGAGTGGTTCAGAACGTGTCGTGGGGTCTTATTGGTAAACAGTCTTGGGAAATGTTTGAGGCTAGGTAGGTACAAGCAGATTGCCGAGGCGAGTGGGGCGGATGATCCTGCTTAAGAATAATACTCTCTGTCCGTTCGTGAATAGAGTTTTGTTTATGTCCCCCGGGCTTGATGGGAGCTTTTGGCTCGGCGAGAAGTTGGGGCGAGGAGATTGCCGTAAGGCCACATCTTGTTATGACGGCATGCGGAATTTTCAATTGCATCAGAGAAAAACTCAGTCGATTTCTTCACTGAAGAATAGATGGTTCAAGCCAAGCCAGGTGTGCCCGGAGTTATACGTACGCTCGTAGGAACTTCAACCCGCTAATCACAGCCTCATATTCTGGATCCCCGGGCATCTTTCCGATGTCAAAACCATGGTCCGCATCTTCAACAACCACAAGCTGCGTATCTACCCCGTCCGCTTTCAGAGCGTTGTGCGCCCTCTTCGCTAATTTGACGTCCACCGCCGAATCAGCCCCTCCATGCCCAAAGAAAGTCGGCGGGAAGGACGGCGAGAACAAACCGGCCGGCTCCACCCTGCCATAGTTACCGTCCGACACGACCTCTCGGAGGAAAGTGCCGTCCTTCATCTTGCCCATGAGCCAAGCAGCGCGGTAGGTCGAGACGTCAGGTCCCTTTGGGCCAAAGGGCGGCGGGGCTGATGTCGGCGGTGGTTTGTCTTCGTATATCTTGTTTCTGAACTCCACATCTGGGAGCTCAATGGGAGGTATCTTTGCAGGCTTAGCGAAAGACTCGTCTTCCATGTACTTGAGGCCGAATAAGTCAAGAATGGCCTTGGGAGGGTTGGGCATCGAGGCCTAGGTCAATGTGAGTTTACCGGACAATGTTGAAAACCAGGACCAAACCACATACCATAAGAAGAGCAAGTGTTCCTCCCGCAGAATGACCCCAAGTCACGACTCGCTCGCCATCCAGCATAATGCCGGCGTCATTGGCTAGCTTTACTGGCAAGTCGTTCTGCACCCATGAGAAGGCGTCTTTGGAGTCTGCGATTGCTCCATCGTATGCTGAGATTGTCGGAGAGAGCCGATAGTTGGGAGATACCACTGCGCCGAAGCCCAGGTCGAGAAGCACTTTGATGTACTGAGGGCTGATCATGCCCTTGTTACCGACTACAAAGTTTCCGCCGTGGTAATAGATGGCTGCCAGTTTGTCAGTCTGTCATCGTCAAAAGCATCATTACTCATCCTACGTACCGATAGGCTTCGTGCTGCTCGAGTCGCCGTGCTTGAAGTAAACGTCAGCTTCGATCGAATCCGCATCTCGAAGATGCTTGTATGTGTATGTGTTCAATTCCATATTGTTGTTTGAAAAGTTCACAACGATGTATAGTTTGTTTGTCGTAAGTCAATGATTGCTTAAGTCCCAGTGTGTATGATTGGGCAATTATTTTGAATCCTGACTCTGAATCACATAGCGTAATGAGGCAAAGTTTCGATGGCTCTCTCTGAACCTTGACGTAATTCCGGATCCCGGGGATCAGGCAAGTTTGGAGACCGACTCCGTTCCGGGGGTTTTGTTGCAGTGCCTCACTTTATTAGGCCAGAAGGTGACCCTCACACCTTGCCTGCTATTTCTGAGATGTTGTTGGTCATCAAAATGGTCTGATTGCGGGTAGGATGGCTTAGACGGCCACATTCCTGTTTTTGTATGAGTGTATCATGAAACTGAACAGAATACAGCATTTATGCCTGTAAAGATGTTGGTAGCAACGAGGTACGGTTGAATCCTGAGTATTGACACTAAACTTCATGAGAAAGAGAGGCATAGATACTGAGCTACCGATTTGACATATGTTACACAAACAGTTTAGCCATAAGATCCTCTTTGTGAGTATCCTATCCACCTCCTCCAAAAACATTCGTACAAGACCAGAGATTCCAGCTCTGGCATCATCGTCCATTCGTCTCATTCGTCTCATTGTTTCCATCCCTGCGATGAGGAATAGCAAACTCAGCTACTGTGGCTGGCCGACCGTCAATATCCGTGTCATCAACCCAGTTGCCATGAAACCCAGGCCTCAACCTGACGGGAAGCTTTGCAATAGCAGCATGCTTCTCAAAGTCGTCGCAGTCAATAATGACAAGCTCGCTGGTCATCTCGTCAAAGTTGTTGACCAACGCAATCAGGAAACCGTCACCCTCCGCGGCCCCCGGATGTCGGGGGACGAACTGAGGCTCCTGGAAGAAGTGGCGAGGCCCTCTGATGTATTTCTGCGTAACACCGGTTACAAGATCGTATTTGTAGAGAACGTTCATGTGGCCAATGCCATCTTATCGAGCTGTTAGCGTAATGACTCTGGCATGACTTGAAACTTTTGAAAACGTACCGCCAGCCAGGGGTGCAGAGTACTCCCAGTCCGTCACTCCAGGGCTCATGTCAATCATGTTTCCGTATATGAAGCGGTGCTTCTTGCCAAAAACGCGATCGTCGATGCGCGGGAATTCGTTTGGCCCGGATGTCACGACTTCCGTGGGTGATTGATACACCAGCTTCGTGGAGTGAGGATCCAGAACGAATTCGCAGACATGAGGCGCAAGGACTTCCAGATCAAAGGCGGGAGCCTCGCCGTTCTGGTCTGGGAAGAATCCGAACCCGTTGCCCCTGACCATAGACACGTGAAGGTGGACTTGCCCGTTCTCCTCCCACGCGTTGGCGACGTGGCCGGTGAACAGGTTCGGCCCTTTGAACCACTATGACACGTTAAAGATATGTGCCAGATGAAGGAGGAATCGTTCCAAACCTTGATATCCGAGGACTTGGCTCCTCTTCGTGGGAGGAGCCCTATATAGTGCGGTCGATCGGTCCAAGTCCAGTGGTTGCCCCCCTGTTTGAGCTTGTCCATGAAGCATTCCATGGGAACAAGCGGAAAGATGACCTAGTAAGAATTAACCAGTACAACTACACGGCTAACATATACTCACCCAGTTATCAGTAAAAGCCATCTCGTGCTGGAATCCGCAGAATGGCGCCTGAAACCACACCTTTTCGTTAAATTTGCCGTGTTCATCAATCGACATGTAAAACACGTCCCTGGTTCCAATTCCCTTCCCCTCGTAGCCGAAAGACAGGACCTCTCTCGTCTTGACGTCATACTTCGGATGCGCAGTAAAAGTCTCGCTTTCCAACTGCCCGTCAAAGTCCCATTTGCCAATTGTTTCGAGGGTGCGAGGATCAACGGCATAAGGCTGACTGTCTTCTTTTAACGCAAGGATGACGCCTTTGAAGGGGAACGCCGTCGTGTTGGCCGTCGTGCGGTCGGCGAACTTGACCAGGTCAGTGAAAGGATTGCGGTACTTGCCTGACGTCTTTGTTAGTACGATTTGCTCACGGTTTTGGAAAACTCTGTTGCTGTGATTGCTTTACCGATGAGCGCACGATTCTCGTTGGTCTCAACTCGAAACTTTTCGGTCTTAACGAACCGCTGCTTAAAATCGACATTGCCGTTTTTGATGCGAAAAGAGGAGATTGCACCGTCACCATTGAGCCACTTTAGAGACCATTTTAGCATTTGATACAAATAGGGACTGGTACGGGCAAACCTACAATATCGTTTTTGGCAAAGGGGACGTGATAAGGCTCAGGCATGATACGATAGAACGTGCCCGAAATCGACGGAGGGACTGTTCCGTACACTTCGAGATTGCTGACCTTTCCCTCGTAGCGGGTTGGCCTGTTAAAACCTGCGAGGGCAGGGCCGGCGTTATCGAAGTTGGTGTCGCAGGGCGGCCAGCTTGCCTTGTCCATTCCAGGCCATACTTTTGAAGGGAGCTCTTGCCACTGTGAGGGTTTTAGATGATGCATGTCGATCCAGTTGAGTTGACGGATGATGAGAAAGACGCTTTGGTGTGTAAGTCTCAGGAGTGTGAGTATTTTAGCAACGCCCTTTCATTACCAACTACTCATCGACATGTGGCTAGCTTTTAGAAGCAGAGCTTTTCCGTGCAGTATCATCTGAAGACTCATCCGATCACATTCTTGCGGGGGAGGAGGCGGACACTTCGAAATCCCGTCCTGCCGAACGACTTGAGACGGAACGGGATGCACATATCCTCTCCGCTGAGGATCTGGCTTCCGTGCCACGGAAGTAGAGTTCAATACACATGAAGTGCGTCACCACGCGATTGGATGGACTGCCCCCGGGCACGGAGAAGACTCCGAGCGCTTGTCTGGATTCCGCTGGCCGGCTTTCGGGTAATTACCTGCGACCGTCGTGTTCTTAGACAGAGGGCCGTCGCAAAGCTTTGGGTAGAAGTAGCTACCAATTCCCCCAGGCAGTATTACGAAAAATCACATTGGACAGATTTGCTGAAGGTATTCAACATGATCGTTGAAGGTTGCGACGTTCCGTTGTGCGATACGATCCGCCCGGAGAATGAGGAGAACTGCTTCCCATACTCCTTCAAGGAGAAGAAGAAAGAGCTCCTGCCTAAGGGCTGGCAAAAAACCCTTCGTAGCCGACCTCTTCCTTGCGAGCTCATATACGAGGTTAATGAAGAGATGAGACACTCGGATGGCGTCAAGGTCCGTCCGCCATGATCAGGATATCAAGAGGAGGGGAGCTAACGGTCTAGATTTACTACGATATCTGTCGCCCGAACACGGTGGAGAAGGTTCCTGCTCTTCTTGCCCTGAGTCCTTACGGCAAAGGAGGTAACGGGTCTCTCAACTACGAGCTCTTACCGTACAGAGTCGGGGTACAAGAAGAGATGCTTTCGGGCCTGGAAAAGTTTGAGTCGTGAGTCAATCTTCTACTCCTCTACGCGGATCGCGTGAATAAGGGTTAACTGTTCATGTCCAGCGTTGACCCGGCGGAGTGGGTTTCTCGAGGTTACGCTGTTGTTAATGTCGACATCCGTGGATCTTGGGATTCTGAGGGAGACCTATATATTGAGGGAATGGCGCCTGGTGAGTCACCTCTGATCTCTCCGCACAGACTTCCTAACGTTTTCCAAGGACGGGACGCTGCTGAGATTGTTGAGCATGTTGCCGCCCTGTCTTGGTGCTCTGGCTCTATCGGCATGCAGGGCAACTCGTGGCTCGCGGCAGTGCAATGGAGCACTGCGGTGGTGGCGCCCCCCGCCCTTAAAGCTATCGCACCGTGGGAGGGCTTCACGGATAAGTACCGCGAAGTCGCCTGTAGAGGCGGTATCGCTGACGCGACGTTCCTCAACCTGGTATATAACGGGACGATTCGCGGCCGAAGTAAGCGAGAAGACATCTTCGCAGCAGCCCAGAAGTGGCCTTTAATAAACCCCTACTGGGAGGACAAGGTGATCAAGACGGAGAAGATCACAATTCCTATCTATGCTGTTACTAGCTATAGCTCGGGAATCCACGGTTATGGCACAATCCAGGGCTTCCGGAAAGCTAAAAGTAAGAAGAAGTGGCTACGGATTCATGCTACCCAGGAGTGGTTTGATATTTATCGAAAGGATATGAACGATGAGCTGCAAGCCTTCTTCGATCGATATCTCAAGGGGGTCGAGAACGATTGGGAAAAGACGGACCCCGTTCGCGTATCTATCTTGACTTGCGGAGATCGTTTTGGACCGGTGAGTGTACCTGAGCTTTTACTCTGATAACAATGCTAATGGAGATAGCAACCTATTGAACATTTCCCCATGGGAAGTTATCCACACGCAAAGACTGAGTATAAGAAGCTCCACTTAACAAAGGATAACCTATCTCTCTACCACCCTTCAGCACGCGGTGTCACGTCGTACCAGTCGGACGATCGCAGCTCTGCAGTACAGCTTGTCTATACCTTCAAAACTGCGACCACTTTGATGGGATTCTCCAAAGCCAAGCTGTGGCTTTCCTGTGATGACACAGACGATATGGACATCTATCTCAGTCTGAGAAAGGTCAGTAAGTCGGGAAGAGTGCACGACCATATCAACATTCCATGGTCCGCAATCCCACGCAACGACAGCACTCACGATGATGTAGTCAGCACTAATGTCATTAAGGTTAGTCATCTCTTTTCCCTTTAACCGTTTCACGGCTACTGACTTCGATTACAGAGCACCGGATCTCACGGCCTACTTCGCGTGTCTCACCGAGCCGTGGATCGGTCGAAGCAGGATTCCATTATGCCCTACCACCCTCACGAGAAGATTGAAAAAGTCCAGCCGGGTGAGATCGTTCCCGTCGAGATTGGAATCTGGCCGATTGGGCTCAAGCTGTACGAGGGGGAGGGGCTCATGCTACGCGTGCGCGGGAGCAAGGATGCGTACTGGGAGATTCCAAACCTCCAGAAGAGCACTATCTTTGGCATAAATAAGGGGAAGCACCACATTCATTTTGGAGGAATGTATGACTCGTATGTTGCTGTGCCGTTCATTCCGAACGTTTGATCTTGAATACAAAGACGTTGTGAGGAGACACGAATGGTTCGGTCAAGCTGTTATAAATCGCAGAAGTTTTCGTCGATGGAAGTGGCAACTATGAGGCATCGAGGGGCCTACAAAGTGACATTTTTAACCTACCGAGCAAAGTTTTGGATGATCGGACGAGGGTTGCCATCAAAACATGTATGATCCCAAACGCTTGATAGTTTTGATTCCTATCAGGATGTGAAAAACCTATGGCACCGATGAAAAGCTGCCTCAATCTTGGTTTACTCAATTACTAATGGAAAAATTCCATCTCCCTAAGTCCCTCGGTAATGGCGACCTGCTACAGCAGCTGTAACAGGGCAATGGGGCTTAGATGACGTCAGACGCATTCCGAGCGTTTACTATGGCGCTGTCAAGAGTAGCACTCAGCTCTGCCAATGCGGATGGGGTGATATGAATCCACGGCAGTGGAGGCTTCAGTCATATGGCCAGACCGTGACGAGGCTGAGGAATCAGTAGCAACACGGCGTATTTCAGGACTACTTTGTTGAGTAGAGCGTCATCAACGCGAAAAGCAGTAGGCCCCTATGCAAGAAATACAGTCGCGCGTATTCCATAAGAGCGGGATTTGTCTACCCTAGACTACAAGATTCGATACATAGTTCCTCTATCATATCACCTTCAGTTTTATGTATTATGTAAACCTATCAACTTAGATTTTACGTTGCGATGGCATCAACTGCGTCATTCATTCTTTGGGTCAAATACCGTAGGTTGAATTGAGAGCCGGGATTCCGATTGAGGAGGGGTGAAATCTGACAGCTTGATTGCGCAGAGGAACACTAGACTATGCAATAAAAGACCCCTGAGAGCGGAGATGATCCGGTTTATCATAACTAAGAGATGCAGTGTGACCCAGAGGCCAATTGAATTCCGACATGTAGCTGTGATGCAAGAAGCTTCAACGAAGCCAGCCAAAGAGGCTTGGCGCAACCAGCATTCCCCGCTCAGTACTTCTAGCTAAACAGCCCGATAAGGTGAGGAGAATTCTCTCAACGATGGGAGGCCAGAGTCACGTTGAGATCTGGGCTGCGTCTCGCAAGTTGAACTCCAAATCGCCCCTTTCTCCAACAAATGACTCACATGCATGCATGCACAACCAATTCCGGCAAATCTCATTGAAGCTTTCACAACTCAGGATTGTGCGACATCATGGGAAAGCTCTACTGCTTTCAAGCGTGCCCGTCGATGCGGGCCCAGAGCTTGGGTTGACCACTAGGCGGGGAAGAACCGTTACACACGGCAAAACCCTCAACAAGATTGTGTTTGCGTACAAATTAGTTTGTATCAAGGTCAAGTGGTATGGTGAAGCGAGATACAAGTAGTATTGAAGAACTTCCAAGGACTTGTGGAAGTGGAAATTCAACATGAAAAGAACTTACCTGCCAGGTCACAGGTCTAAGGCGCTGGAGTACTGAATGTAACGGATCATGCAGAGCGGAATACCAGTTGCTCGTACAGTCTAGAAGTCTTTTGTTTGAGTTATCTCTACCCGTAGCTCTTAGACCAAGTCTCGTGTTTGTAAGATTCTAGCCGTTTTTCATCATAACAATACATTCGATTCCGAATCCATGAAATAAACGCCCCCACTCTCCCCGAAGCCGAGACACGAGACCTCTCTGATTCGAGGACGACTCCTCATAAGAACCTAAATCCAACACTTCATATAGAACCCAATAGCATAGATCGCTAAAAGGTTTTCAACGACAATTTTGAATTTTTCCAGCTTTTATCCGTGGGGTTCCTCCGGGATATCGGCCAGAAATTCTTCAAGGCGTCTGTATGACTCTGCACGCAGCTCTGCCGCTTCCTCAAACCGGCCGTCGCGGACAAGCAAGTCCTCAAGTTGCCACATCTCATAGACAATCTGAGATCCCAGCCGGCCTTGCCCATACTCTCTCAGAGCCAAGATGGTTCTCATCTTGTCAGGTGCAGAGTCGACATCTTCCCTACACTGAGTCTCAAAGTCCATGATTATTCTGGTGATATAAGCCACGATACGGGCTTGCAAGCGAGGGATATCCATGCCAGGATGTATCGGCATTGCTGCGTCGTCTTGAAGCACTTGACTTTTCAACCAAGCTGAGAGGGCACGTACCCTCATTGTCGAATCGACGGGGACCTCTTCTAGCATCTGAGTGACCCCTGCAAGACTTTCCTGCTTCAATTGGTTGAAGTTAGCAGGCTGTGAAGTTCCGTCGCCATGGATACCGATGCCATCGAATGTCAGCTCATGCTTTGGCCAGAGCCTCTCAGGTGCTACTTCGACGTCGTCCTGGAGTAACGTTCTGTTGACCTTATCATGGATCTTGGCGAACCACTTGTCCGAATGACGCGCGATCTCGGGATCAAGTTTGACAATATCTGAATCCCAGACGAGTTGGTAGTAGAGCAATAGGTACTCCGGGTCGAAGCGGGTGAACGTCAGATCCGCGTTTATCGACCACGCTCGCTCGAGCGCTTCCGGTCGGACAGGAATGCCGTCGTGCTGCCATGCCTGCAGCAGATCTTGCAGTCGAAGCAGTACCTTTGACACCGGTCTCCTGCCAGCAAGACTTATGAGATGGTGCAAAAGTATGTGGCCGAGATTTGCCTGGCGGAGGAGGGCGATATTGTGGAAGATCTCGAGGGTATTCCAAATGAAGAGGGGCCCTTCTGCGTCGAGCAGAGTTTCTGCCTGGAGGAACGCCTTGCGAGCTAGACGACCAGCCAAGACACCCTGATCGCGATCGAGAAGGCCTAGTATAAGTTTGAAAGCGAAACTCAGCTGTTCGGGGTTGTTCAAGTCGCGCGGCGGGGGCTTGATTGACGATTCAGGCGAGGGACTTGATGCCCCTGGGGGTGATGGCAGCGAATATCCAACCGTGCCAGGTTTGGTCCTGTCGAAAAAGGAAACAGTCCAGTTTCTGATACTGGAAAGAAATGCTAGTTGGGCCGCATCAGAGGTACTGATATGAAGGATGCGAGGGGCCCTCGAGACTGTAGCAGCATCGACCAGTGGAGTTGACGGCGGCCCAGAATCTCGCGACGATTGAAGACCGATATCCTTGCCTCGCCGGTCCCGACGAACATTCTTGTGGAATCCCCATTTGGTGAAGCGTTTTTTATACATTTGCACTCTTGTTGTAGGACGCTTGTCAGCTCACATGGGGTCTCTTTGATGCCAGAAGCGGCACACCGGTAGCAGGCATCCAACAAGGGCCCTGAAAAAGGCAATATCCGCAACATGTATGGGCGCAACTTACGTGGCTCTAAAATTGTAGTCCTTCTCCATCTCTCTCATTAGATACTTGAGGCTTCTACGCTCTCTGACGTACATGCGCTCAATAATTGGGTACACGGCCGTCCATTCTTTTTCATCGTGTTGTATCGGCAATGCGGCGCATGCCGAAGCTGGGCTCATGGGAGTATCTGACTGGGGCATTCTCGGGAGCAACGTTCGCTGGCCTGGAGCCATTAAAGCTGGGGCGGTCATCGTGATAGTGCAGGTATCGCAGCCTCAAATCATGCCTCCGTCACAGAGTTCATGGGCGAGATAAGAGAGTCAGGTGCGTCAGGGAACTTTTCCAGAGGACACCATTCGTCCACGGGTGACGGGCTTGGGTGCCTGGCAGGGGGCGCAGCGAAGGATCCAAGCTAACGAATTTCAGAATGAACACCCATGTCAGCGCCACAGCAACTACTTGTGAGCCTGTCCAATGAGATTGTGAGAAAAAGTTCTGTCTCATGACGAAAAAGGTTCCCGAACGCTGGGATCTGCATTGCTTGATATTGACGAATGAGCGTCGTGGGAAAAGTTCCGCATCGTTGCCGGAACATTGCTCAGCGTTCTCGCGATCCGTAGCTCCAAAGTCGGGGACGAACGAGGTGGACGAGAAAAGTTCCTGGTGGTTCTTGTTCGTGTGATTGGAAATCTTATCCAAAGGAGCCTTGAAAAATATAAAAGCCTGGGTCGTGCGCGCTCATGTTGAAATATGTCCCAGAAGAAGACATCTCATCAGCATCATTATCCCCGTCACGTCACCATCAGCAGCAAATTTTATCACTCGCAACATCAAGCAAAGTTTTTTATTCCAATACCCAACTATTTCCGTTTCGGCTTTATTCGGCCTTTTCAAATCATAGTCGTCATGTCCGCGCAAATGCAAGAACGAGTCGCATCGGAGACGAGCCTTTTGACATCTTTCCGCAAAGCTGTATTCAGCTCCGTACCTCCCATCCCCGAAGCCATCAACCTCAAAGGCCAGACCGGCATTATTACTGGCTCTAATGCTGGTATTGGCCTCGAAGCAGCCCGACAATTTCTTCAAAAAGGCGTTACTCACCTCATACTGGCAGTCCGCTCACAGAGCAAGGGCGACAACGCGGCGGAGCTACTTGCACGCCAGTTTCCTGCAGCCGACATCCAAGTCTGGCTGCTAGATATGGAATCCGATGCATCAGTGCGAAGCTTCGCTCGCCGCTGCGAGTCTCTTCAGCGGATCGACTTTCTCATTCTCAACGCTGGTGTCGGTAAGATGACGTTCGAGAAGAGCAACGAAGGCAAGGGTCGCGAAGTGACTCTCCAAGTCAACTACATCAACACCATGCTTCTCGCCATACTCATGATGCCGGTTTTAAAGGCCAAGGCTCACGATCGGCCCAATCGGTTGACCGTTGTCGGCTCCGATATGTCGTACTGGGCTACACTGCCGGAGACATCTGGGTCTCTCCTCGATGCACTCGATACCAACGAGGGATACAATGGAATGCAGCACTACGGCAAGACCAAACTGCTTTTGGTAATGGGAATCGCCAAGCTATCGCAGACCGTCACGGCAGACGAGGTTATTATCAACTACCTTAACCCCGGCGCTACCAAAGGCACCGGTCTAAACCGCGAGGCATCGGGTTTCTGGAAGATCGTCCCGTTCGTTATGGATCGCGTGATCGGCCGAGAAGTAGTTGATAGCGCCAGGCAGTACCTTCACTCGGCAGTGGTCCTGGGAAAAGAGTCACATGGTTCCTTTACCGACTTTGTCATCCGGCCGTAAGTCCCTGCTCCACGAGACTTCGCGCCGAAGTCTTCCACATGTCTTATTAACACGCCCACAGTTATCCTAAGCTCATGTACACTGAAGCTGGTCGAGATAAAATGAACCGTCTGTGGGACGAGACTTTGTCAGAGCTTGGGTTGAGTACGCACTCCATCTAGCATTGTTTTGAGGGAAAGAGGGGCGGGTGTTACCGTTGTCTCTGCATGCCGGTTCTCGAAAGATATCAACCGTAGGTTCTGGTGGGATACAAGGGCCTGGTTTGATCATGTGCATCATAGACTTCTGCTGCTTTTAAAACATCGAATATATTTAATTAATGCCTCAAGGCGAGTCGTCGTAATGTCAGTTTTTCTTGCAAAATTCCCCTGGTGATCTGTGGCAAATTATTTACACAGAGTATAGGGCTGCCGCTTTCAGAGCCAGGATGGTCTTAAGACCAATGCTTTCAGACTACTGCAGCAGTTTTGAAAGAAATATCAATCGAAGAACCAAGTAATCAAAGTTACTCTCTACTATGGTTTGGCTGTCGGGGCGGGAGGTGGGCACAGACGACGACGAGTGCGACGACGAGGGCGACGACAAGGGCGACGACGAGGGCGACGACGAGGGCGACGACGAAGGTGACAACGACGGCGCCAATGACGATAGTTGCATAGATAGTTGCGTAGCTATTAGAGCGATAAAGATAGGGATGACCGGGAGGGGGACGATAAAGAAAAGTACTGTATTATCAATAGGAATTTACATGTTATAAGGAGAAATGATGCTGTTAAAACAGGATGATAGGTGTTTTAGAAAAATAGGTAGTTATCCGCCTGGACAGAAAAGAGTTTCTAATATTTGGCAGTTTCATACTTGCTTCGGCGGCGAAAGTTTTGGCCGTACTTGAAGAATGCCCATGGCCCGGGAAGTAAGATTAGTGAGACGAACCCTAGAAGGCTCGTGGCCCAACCTATGCCGAGCCTCTGGTACACTACATGATACGTGTATCAGTGGGAGGTCTTCAATGAAAATGAAGGAATGAGTGAGTACTCACTTTGGAGAGAAAAGAATGGGAAGGCGGCAGCAAGTGTATACCTTGCCAGGCTATTAGCACTCGCTGCACTTGCGACATTGGTTCGATGATATGTGTCTCCAAGATATTGAATTGAGCTGACGGTCAATGAGATGTTGCCCCAGCCAAAGACTGCAACTGCCACGATCGGTACGGCAACATGCACATCTGAGCGAGCCGTCCACCCAAACCAAAACAAGCTAATAGGGAGACCCAAAGATCCCATCATAGCCGGGTAAAGTCGAAGCTCTGGTGGTATGTCGCCTGGTGGAAAGCTTCGAGCTTTAGGCTGGTAGAGATATCGGTCGCAAAGGACCAAGGTCACACAACCAAGAACACACCCGAATGCAATGGCCAAGAAGACTAGGCCTGACTCTGTGAGACTGAAGTTATGTGTCGCCCCAAAAACGTAGAAGAAAGCCCCGAAGAACATAAACAGTGTTCCGAACATGCATGCCACATACAAAGAAAGTATTGACACGATGGGTTCTGTGAAAAGCATCCGTAAGGGTCGGAATAGACTGACAGTGAGGAATTGCCTAACCATTGTTGAGGTGGGGTTCGGTTCGGGTTCATCGAGGCCGAGTTGCTTTCGACGGCGGCGCAGCAAGACGGGGTGATAGGACTCACCAGCGACAAACAGCCACATTGCAGAAAATACGGAGAAGAACACTATGGTAAACTGTGTCCAGCGCCAGCCTTTCCCGTCAACTATGAAAGACCCCAGAACTGGCCTTCGACCTATGTCAGCACGGGTAACCCCTCAAGATCACAAGTTTTGCTGCATCTTACCCGAGGCCAGGTCCCAGAAACGGACTTAAGATGAAGATTGTTGATGGTAACCCCCTCTCAACAGGCAGGTAAGTTTCATTCAAGACTCCAGAGCCTACGGCCAAAACAGGCCCGTAGAAGAACCCAGACAAGAATCTGAGTATGCACAGCCCGGCAAAGGTTTCGGTGAATCCTCCGCCCAAGGCGAAAAGACCGCCAAATACCACGGCGATAATATGGACAGCTTGTCTGCCGGCCGTTTCTGATAAGGGCCCGCCGAGTATGGGACCAAGTCCTAGTGCAAGCACATATAATGATAGTGGCAGGAAGGCAACCGTGCTTGAGATATTAAACTCGTCCATGAACTGTGAACGAGCTGGGCTGACAATCGAGGTGCCAACGGAACTAGAAAAATCAGTCAGCGAAAGGAAATTTGTAACCAAACATTGCTTCACCCACCAAGTAAAGCCAACGATTGAAATCATTGCAAGTTGCACGTTCTTTTTCCACGAGGGCCAGTTGTATGGATTTGATGGGTCTTCTTCCCACTTCCATTCAGAAGTTGCCTGCCTGTCCCCTTCGGGTTTGCTATCATCAGAGTTGGCTAGGTGTTCAGCCATTTCTGTCCTGTCAGAAGCGACAAAATCCGGTCGCATTATCATGGAAGGCATATCTAAACCGGAAAAAAAGTTCTATTCCAAGACTTGGTGGGAGGAAATAATTTCAGTTGATCTGGCGCAAGGAAGTCAACAGGTCTCGACCCAACCCTGAACCAAAGTCCATCCGTTTGGAGGGCTAGGTCACACTGATCGTGTCTTATCATGCCATTTGATTATCAATCGTCTTGATATGCAAGACTTGCCGTGAAATACTACCGATCATGTCGACCGTTTAAAGTTTATGCGGCTGTCAGTAACCGAAGTCCAGGGTTGGGTACTGCTAGAGCATGCATATGACACTCCTACTTTTCTTCCCTTCGTGACACTCCTACCCAAGTGGGCTACACCCCCATGCAAATATGAGTTCCCACGATCGGCACCCTGCCGTACTATTTCGAAGACACAACCCACTTCACCATTATCCTGTCGCTTCAGCCAAGGATATACGGCATCGTTTCTCGGACACAAGTCTCGTTTAGACTCACAATCGAATAATCGCTCTCAGTAACCCTGAATGAGGGACTCACAGGGGCCGCTTTCTCACAGGGTTGCAAGCCCCACAGTTCCGGGGGCAGCTAGGTACATGGCCATACGACAGGGTCAAAATTTCGTCTCGCGCCGTCTGAGTTGAATAAACATTGACATTGAATTTGTCAGCTTCGTGTAGCGGAGGGATTGATCGCTCCAGAAGCCATCAAGAGAAGCTGTATGTAAACCACTACCAATGACGCCCCAGCAACTGCTGGAGCAAGCATTGCAGCAAGCGGTTCTACTGTATACGCGCGTTTCTGTCCTCCATTGTCTTCTCTTTTGCCCATCATACGAAGAGCTCCACTAAGACCCTTTCGATATGGCGCACAAAGAAATATCGCAACCGACAAAGATTCCGCCTTTTGAATCGACTCCCCTGGCAAGCATACCGGCTTTTGTCAGCGCGACCAAGGCCACTTTTAAGTCCGGCAAGACAAAGAATGTGGAATACCGCCTGATCCAACTTCGAAAGCTGTACTGGGGACTCAAAGACAGAACTGGTCAGCTTCGGGAGGCCCTTAAACACGATCTCAACCGACCTCCCCATGACGCTCATGTTTCTGACATCGACTGGAGCATTTCGGATTGCATGTTCGCCATCCAAAACTTGACGACATGGGTACAGGATGACAAGAACATCGACGTCTTCCTTCCCTTTTCGCTTCTTCGACCGCGAATCCGAAAAGAACCCCTGGGCACGGTTCTTATTATCGGAACATACAACTTTCCGGTGCAACTGAACATTTGTCCTCTCATTGGTGCGGTTGCCGCCGGTTGCACCGCTGTTGTGAAACCTTCTGAGAATGCCCCGGCAACGGCCATGGTTCTCAAGGGTATCATCGAGGACTACCTGGACACTGACTCTTACAGGGTCGTGAACGGTGCCGTGCCTGAGACCACTGCTCTCCTGGACCAGAAATGGGACAAGATTCTCTATACCGGCGGGGTCAACGTTGCCAAGATCATCTCCAAGAAGGCTTCAGAGACGCTTACGCCCGTATGCCTCGAGCTTGGCGGCAAGAACCCAGCATTTGTCACCAGCAATGCAGACCTTCGTCTTGCTGCCCGCAGGCTTTTGTGGGGAAAGACGCTCAACGCTGGACAAGTCTGCGTGTCCCACAATTACGTTCTCATTGAGAGAGGACTAGTCAAGGACTTTGTCAACTTTCTACGAGAATCATACGCCGAATTCTTCCCCAAAGGCGCCAAGGAGAGCCCAGACTTTTGCCGCATCATCAACGCCCAACACTTTGATAGGATGAAGAACATGCTTGATAACACGCGTGGACAGAAAGTTTTGGGGGGAGACACTGACCGCAATGACCTCTACATCGAGCCAACGGCCGTTCTTGTCGACGATTTCCATGATATCATGGTTCAGGAGGAATCCTTCGGTCCGATATGGGCGATCGTGCCATACGATAATCTCGAAGATGCGATTGCTATGGCAAATGAAACCGACTCCACGCCACTTGCACTGATGGCCTTCGGCAGTCCATCGGAAAATGAGAAAGGTAACCAATCGTGCCCATACTAGGAAAAGGTGTTTATGGATACAACTGACATGCTGGGAATAGTATTGTCCAGTGTTACCTCTGGAGGGGCGACACTCAATGACGCCTTCATGCACGCCGCGGTCCACACCTTCCCCTTTGGCGGCGTAGGTTACTCTGGCTCTGGCTCTTACCGTGGGAAAGCGTCGTTTGACTGTTTCACACATCGTCGAACAATTGCAGAAACACCCAACTGGGCGGACAAGATCTTTCGTGTTCGATACATGCCCTACTTGGAGTCGGAGCTGAGGATATCACAGTGGCTAAGTGATGTCAAGCCGGATTTCGATCGTCACGGAAGACAGGTCTTGGGTTTGAGATCATGGGCTTGGAATATATTCAGACTGGGAAGTGCTTCTGGTCGAGGCACACTGCTGCGCTGGATGATCGTTACGGCGAGCTGCTTTGCTGCTGCAAAGGCGGCCGGTCTTGGGCCTGAAGTTGTGATCCCAAAAGTGTCAATCGTATGGAATTAAACGCAGCAAAGTGTTTTCGTCGCCAAGTTGCAGGTTCGATTAGAGAAAGTCAGGAAAACCAATTTCCATGCTTTTTCGACTTAGCTAGTCTGCCCAACTATTGACTCGACCGGCTTTTGTCGAAATGCCCTTTCTGTCTTGTTCGCAGCAGAAGTGCTGGTTTATATCGCGACCAAGTTGTGTCAGCTGTCAATTGAAATTATTGCGATGTCATGAGAGAATCGATGCAAGTGGGTCTTAGAATGCTGTTCATTCGATGAGATTATCTTAGCATGCCGAGATAAAGTCATCACAAGTTCTCGGCTGTGATTGAGGCGCTCAAGACATGTGCCAGGGTATCACTTGCCGTGCAACAATCCCGAAGATAGAGCCAGAACTTGGCAAACCCAGACGAAACTGACTCAACATGGTTTAGTGGCATGTAAAAAACTGATTTGAACCAGCAGATCCACGAGGCAAGTGGTCCTAGTGTAATGACGACCCTGGATACTACTGGGGTCCGGACCGCAGAGCCGACCCGCGATAAGCAGCTACGTGGTGCCAGATAGAGTTTGCTTGCTAGATATTTACGACGGCTGAGCCCGTAGTCTCCCGTTATTTGGCGCGCTTCCTGACCCACCTGCCGTCCAAGTAGAGGCTTTTCCACGTTGTGCCTTGACAGGTAGCTCGGAACTAAGGCAAACCCGAATGTCCTGATTGCCGCCCGCTTACGTATGCCCTGAACTGACGCATTCGGCCACGGTTCGGTATCGCATCATGACAAGCCATGGTAATGCAAATTTGGTACCTCGTTTCTTAGGCAATGTTCATCACGGAAGCCATCGCAGTCGTATCACAATCATGGTAGATACTGTACCTTGTCTTGCCCTGCAGAAGCAATGCGGGGGCAAGGAGCCAAACAGAATCAGTTGTCTGTGAGAGAAGAAAGCAATATAAGGTTTCATAAAAGGCTCTTGAAGAAGAAAGGAAAGAAGAAAGAACAGTTTCTTTGATCGTCACTTCCTTTGGTCATCCTCCAAGCCGTTTTCGATACAGTCCACGTACCCAAGATACTTCATTATCCCCTGTTATCATGGGCTCTCTCCCAGTCAGTTCTGAGGTCCTCGTCATCGGCGCAGGTCCTGTTGGCCTCTTTGCTGCCTTGCGTCTCGGTCAAGCAGGGATTCGCGTTACCGTTCTTGAGAAGGAGAGCGGCCTGTCCCAGCTTCCTCGAGCCTGTATGTTCTATCCCCAGCCACAGTTCGCTCTGGCGGACGCTGGAATATGGCAAGCCATCATCAAAGGCGGCGGTTTTCGATCCACTGGGCTTGACATACGTCTTCCGCCAACTCCAGATGGGGAAGATCGAAAGGCTCCAGGCCAGATTGTTGGGTCTTTCCCCAAAGACCCCAACCATAACCCTCTTGGCACACCTGTCAGACCACCAGCAATCAGCATGCTCAACATGGCCCAACCCGAGCTCACAAAGGTCTTGATGCAAAGCGCTCTCGAGACTGGTTATGTTCAGGTGGTCTTCAACAAAGAATTAGTTGCAATTTTGGACGACGGCTCGACCGGTTCAAACGTGGTAGTGTCAGTCAAGGACGTCCAGACGGAGCTTCTCGAGGACCAAACAGCATCTTTTCTCGTTGGGTCGGATGGCGGTCGGTCGCGGACGAGATCTCTGCTGGGCATATCCTTCCCAGGCCACACCTGGCCCGAGAAGCTCATCGCCACTGACGTCTGGCTCAAGAATACCGAAGACAGTCCTACAACAACTACTCTGCTGATGGAGCCGATACATTACACCATCATCACCCCACTTACGCCGCCTGTCATCGGCGAGGTGACCAAGTGGAGGCTGACCTTTGCCGTCGACCCAAAAGAGCTTACTGAAAAGACCGAACAAGAGCTGCTGTCGGAGGAATACATATCCTTTCATTACGACCGCGCTTGGGCCGGCCCACGCCCACTCGCATACAACATTGAGAGGGCAGCAACTTACACCATCCATCAACGCTTGGCTTCCAAACTGAGACACGGACGGTGCCTCTTGGCTGGGGATGCTGCACATGTGAACAACGTAAGCAACACCTTTTCTATGGCAAACATAACGCTGATTGCCTTGTCTTCGAACAACAGGTTATTGGTGGTCTGGGGTTGAGCAACTGTCTGATGGAAGCTGTGGCTCTCAGCGATGCTCTCGTCTTGGTCCTGAAAGAGGGCAAACCTGTCGATCCTGTACTGACCATGTACTCTGACGAGCGTCGTCAGGTCTTCCAGTTCTTCATCGACCCCGTGTCGTCATGGGTAAGTTCATCCACCTTTCTACCACGCCAGATTTGTCGAAGTGGACTGACGGGGGTCGTATGCAGAGCAAACTTCGAATACAGGCAGGCGAGCATGATGACTGGTTCTTCCGCTGCTTGAAAGATACTTCGAGTCCATCGTTCGGGAGATGGATCGATATGATGGAGAATTTCTGGCCCACGCGAATAAAGGATATGGCCAAGGCCATGTGACACCTCAGTCAGGTTTCAGATTATCTGTTAGGAGATTCAAGGTGCCGATATCGTATGTAGTCCGAGACAAAGCTTTCTTAAGGTGTGGTTCACGTTGCCTATGCGGTTGAATGGGCACAGCCAAGCCGCATTTGACAACGCGAGGCACACACGACTAAAGGCGCTTACACCGAATGTCTGCGTACCAAAAGACCCTGATATGATCAATTCGTCAGAAACCGCCGATTTCTCTTGTGCCATGGATATCGATTAGCTTGTGAGGTACTTTGGATTACCACCGCCGGCGGTGCCGTCGTTGTGACCTCTATTATGTCCACCGCCGTCATTCTACTGTTTGTAGCTCTTCTATCGGAGTACTGGTAACCAGAAACCATAGTCACATGAGCACAGGTAGCCTTATTCATTAACAACAAAATGCCTTTGGACAATCCAGAAAGTGAATCTGGCGGAAATTTGGGCAACAACTTTAGGTTTATTTCAAGGGCATGACTTTGTGTCCATGTCAGAATATACTCAATGGGAACTCCCTCCCATGGACTGCAGCGAATTGACTTGAACTTTTCTATTAAAGCATCCTGGGTATACTCCTCCTCCAGATTCCATGCCAATATCGTACCTAGTAATAATCCAACAGCCATCTCGTCCAGACTCCGCCCAGGCCCAAAGGCTTCATATCAATTGCGGCTATCGAATGCGCCAAATGGTGGCGGGCCCGCCTAATTGCAGCCCTGTTGCGTTATTCGCGCCCAATACACCCATCTGACGGCGGCACACGGCGGCGGAAGGGTCTGGAATTGTTCCTTCCAGCCAGAGTCACGAGCCCCCACATATAGTTGTCAACTTCGAGTTGAAATTCTTCCTCAACCCTAAAGATGTTGTCGCGAACATTGTCGCAATGCGGACTCTGGAGCACTTTCTCGCCGACATCCCACATTATTCTCACCAGATCCGCTAAGTTGCCGGTGTGAGCCCGCAGCATGGGAGCACTGCCAATACCTACGGCATTGTAGATGTGAACAATCGTTTCAACACAGCTCGCCTTACACGTTCTATACATGTAGCGAGTGCATGCAGAGTGCTGGATGTCACGCGTAATGTCCTCGTGGAAGATGTGGTGTACGTAATCGACTCCTCTCTGCCTCCATTGAGAAATGGTTTCTGAGACCTTCGGTCAGAATATGCCAAAACAGAGACGCGGGCTGTGTTCAAGGTTGAACTTACTCATGACCTCGTCGGTGTTCCAGGTACCTCGAAGTTGCAAGGGCAGACCATCAAAACCCAACAGCTCGCCTTTGTCGTTGACGCGATACCAGTAGCTCATTCTAAACATGATGGTTTCGAAATCTGCCCTCATCCGAGTTTCCCAAGCAATCCAGAGGAGGAGATCCACGTGTGGCAGGCTCATGACACACCAATCCCATGGACGCCACTCCAAAAACTGATAGCTGGCCGTCCAGTGCAAGTACCATGGTAGAAAGATTCGCATCATGTCGTACTTGTCTGCCGTAAGCAGAAGATCATGCAACTCATCGACGGATATCTTTGCCGGTATGTTCTCCCATCGGCCATGAATCATGGACAAGACGAAGAACAGCGGCTCGACATTGTCATCTGGTAGGTTCACGACCCAGTTATCCCGGCTATTGTTGACTTTTGACTCAGCGAAGTTTGTCCGCAACATGGCACGAAAGACGGGGGAGTATATCGCGGCGAGGTCGGAATTGATGACGATGGTCTTGGCTGGAGTCTCCGCAACCTCAGCTTCGTCCAATTCGGAGCTGGGAGCGGTGGACATCGTCAAGAGGTCGGCAATATCTGTTGCGTCCATCTGAATCTCACGGTCTCCTTCGTTCCCGCATCTTGAATGTTCGTCGTCTGTTTGAGCCGCACCGCCACCAATATTCAAGGTGACGTCTCCGAACTGATTGTCGCGCAAAATTGCCATGTGGCATACTTCGTTAGATGGCCCTATGAGTTCGTCCAGGGATCGCCACATATCGTTATCGTCGCCGTTCGGGGATCCGTTGCCACTGCTGCCAGACTTGACGTGCGATGAGACAATCTCTGGCACGGCAGCGTCCTGGATGCTAATCATGCCCCTCTAGAGGAGTATGGCGTTGACAGTGTCCCAATACTCCCCCAAAGAACGATTCTTGGTCGCCCAATTCGCGTTCACATAAACCGTGGTCGACAGATTCATGGTCGGCCTATGCACGTCCGAATTAGAATGAGGAAGGCGCGAGGCCGCCTGCTGGATGCCTACCTTTGCATGGCTGGATCGATCTCCAAAGGGCAGGTACCGCTTTGTCGTCTGTTGCAATTGGAGTTGCTCCAATGCGTCCTGCGTTGGTTTGAAGATTTTTGGACACAATGGAGTCGTGGGAAGGATTGGCGGGTGAGGTTATGGCGCAAGGTGAGAATTTCGGTCGGGCTCGTGAAAAGGCGCCCGGGGAGGAAGGTGGCGGGTACCCTCTTTCCATCTGTCTCCATTTGAGCAAACCAGTCGACCATCAGTCCGCGTCCCTGCAGCTACCAGCCTTTAAAGACAAAGGTCAGGTTTTTAGGTGCAAGAGAACTCGAATGAGAGATGGAAGCCAACGAAGAGCTAGCGTCAATTTCGGGTCGGTCAGGAACCGGGTCACCACCTGGCTTCCAATTTCGAAGCAAAACGCCGGGCTTTTTCTCTGCGCGCCGATTTACATTCTTCAGTGAGTTTCCAACAAAAATTACATTTGAAAACCTGTTCTGAAGGACACTGCGTAGGTAATATCAAGAAATCCGATGGTGAACATGCACCCGTCGCAATCTTGTAGCCTCCCGTCAAAATTGCAAAAGCCCTTGATAAACCCACCAGGTTCTAATAATCAGAGCTAGCCCCTAGAATTACGGACCTTGCTCTCGTATTCCATCATTCGGATTTGACCCAGTGGCCTGCAAGCTTACAAGACATCATAACCGAAGCTGCTGCATGTTACCTTGTTCTCGACAGGCTGTCCACCCCAAAGTTCGACCAAAGCCCCAGTCACCCTTCTGGTCATTCCACCGCTTTCAGGTTTAATCCACTGACCATTGCATTCTTTCGGAGGCGATCTTGAGTCTCTGGGTTCAAGGGTGAGCCAATTTTGTGCCAAAAGCCCCCAGCGAATTTGTCCATGCCTTGGAACGGGTTGCACCCGGGTATATGTGTCGACACAATCGACTTGGATATCGTCTTAATGATGCCAATGAGCTCCGTCACGCTTCCTAAGAATCGAGGTTCTCCAACCACTCGGAGTCTTCGTATAGCCATCAAAGATGCGACACAGTGTGTGATATCGGCGTCGTCGCAGGCCTCTATCAAAGATCCTAACACCATCGCGTCGCACGACTTGTCCTGGCGTTCGCACAGATTTCTGACTCGAGACGGACTGAGTGTTACATTTAGATATCGGATCAGGTGGGAAATGAACAGCCCTCTGGTACGCGTGATGGACTCTACAAAGGATGTCAGCCTGGAGCACGCATGGGGCTTGTCAAGAATCCATCGACCTTCTTGATCAAAGCCTTCAAGACTAGCGTAGTAGCATAGTGCAAGCGACGATTGGTTGGTGAGGTCTCCTCGTACGTCAATGCGAGCATTCTCGCAATGCGCCTTGACGTGATCGGTGAAGATCTTTTCATGGCCAATGAGCCAGGCAACATCTTGGGACAGAGACTGGTGGTCGGGACATTCGGAGATCCATTTCTGCAGCCAACCGGCCAGAATGGGCTTCACGGCGTACTTTTCTATTAGATGTAGGACAATTCGAAGTTCATCGGTGCCAAGGCAATCCGGAATGTAGTTGGAGTATCCATGGGCGGTCGCAACAATGAAGAACATAGCCCAAGGGTTATCGTCAGGCAAGTTTACGACCCAGGGTTCTGCTGCAGGCTTTGACTCGGCGAAGCCGCTGAATAGCATGCAATCGAAAACATCCGAAACTGTGGCCATTGTCTTTGAATCGACTCGGAATCTTCGGCTTTCGTGCTTGGTTGGGACAGACAGGGTGTCCTGGCCGGGTTGGTTATCAGGCTGCGGCGGTGGTCCTACAACCAGCGTCAAATCTCCCTCGTACTCCGAGAAGATCTCTGCGGTCGATGAGACAGCTTTCTGCTTCAGGAATTCCCACATGCCGTCTGTGCTATAATCGCTATGTTGGTCTACGTCGAAACTCTCGGGTGCAATGATCATGACCTTCTTTCTTCCCCTCTAACTTTTCTTCTTCGCAGTTTGCCGCCTGGAGGCGCACCTTGTTGACGGCCGTATGATTCTCACGGGGAAATGTTCGAGCGCCAGGATGGTCTGGGCTTCACAGAGAAACCTCTATGGCCACCTATCCGTAGGTCGCGTCAGCCAAAGTTGGACATTGCATGGGACGTTGACGAACCATGGCCTCCAGCGGCTCTCTACGATGGCTCTGTCACAGGACTCGTACTGTCTGTAGTCATAGGAGAATGTGTTGTGTTATGGTAGTGGGATTTTACGAGTGGAAAGATGGAAGTTGAGGTGGATGAAATTAATGAACTTTGTAGATGATGGCCCTGGCAATGCTGAGGAAGGTGTCAGTACCTGCGCGACTGCCGTCTTGCCCATGTCATTCATTAGCTTGTGTAAAACGGAAGGACACCATAACTGCATATGATAGGCATGAAACCAGTCTCGCCTCGGTTTCCTTCTGCCCAGTGACAGGACAACATTCGGTAGCTACTACCCACAAAGCAACTTCCAAGCCGGAGCGCCTTCACCTTTTTCGCATCAAAGGGTGTTCAAATTTCCATTCTTTATTATCTTCACTTATGTATGAGAACATTGATCAATGTTCCCTGCGCACTCAATCGCGATTGAATCCCGAATCCGCCATGCCGGGAGGTTTGCTGTCGTCAGGAACCAAAAGCCCAGCGCTTCGCGGATCCAAGCAAACTGTTTTCTCTCAATCAAAACCCTCAGAAACCTACAATCTCAGCGAAGACTACTTGGACGCCTCTGCGAAGCAACGTCAAATACCAGTTTTCTTCGCTTGATGTCGCAAGTATTCCAAATGGTTGTCAGTCACAGGGGATTCGATGTTAGCCAGAAGACTCGCGACCTTATCCTTAATATTATGCAATGGGTTGCAATAATTGTGATTCTGTTCATCCAACGAGAACTGGATCGATTGAATCGCCGACGATAGGTCGTTGATGCTTCCGAGATACTTAGGCGTGGCGCTCTGCAAAAGTGCCACATCCTGCAGGCCAATCTTGTGAACTTGGTGGATGAGGGAGCCGAGAACCAGCCTGATGCATTGATCCGATGTCATCGACCGTCCGCGACGAGAGCCGTAGCCATCATAATAACTACATCCACCGTTATTTGGGCATTGGCACGTGCCATTCTTCAGTGCAACCTCGATAGCGTCGTAGAGCACTCTGGTCATCTCGTGAATGACCGTTGCTCTGGTCGAGGCGATCGTCTCTATCGTCGTCACGTATGAGCAATTAACTAATCCAAGAGCTTTGATTGTTACAAGCTACTTACCGAGGATTCCCGGAGGCTCGAGGAACGTGTAGGTGTTCAGAGCGATGCTGTTGCTGTCAAGTAGCTCTCCCTCGTCATTGATTTTCGACTTGAGCAACAAATTCTTTGCCCAATTGCAAAAAGTCTCTTCATGACCAAGTTCCCACGAGATCCACATGACAATCTCTTCCCCATCGGTTGATGATGTGTTCGTGGCAGCGTATGGTTGGAACCATGTTACAGCCCACGGACTTAGAGTCTGCGTCATATCGTACTTCTCGGTAACAACCAATAACTGGTAGAGGTGGTCCTGCGGAAGGCTCTTGGGTATGTGTTGGAAGTGTCCATGCACAATACTCAAAAGTATAAAGACGGGAGAAACAGAGTCTTCTGGCATTTCGATCGTCCATGGAGCATCGTCCTTCGGCCGCGACTCAGCGAAACCAGTGAACAGCATCGCACGGAAGACGGAAGACCACCGTGCAAGGGACCTTGAGCACACAACAAATTCGTACACACACAGCTTCTGATCACTGCTGTCTCCAACCTTCAGAGTCAAATCACCACGAGAGTCAAAGTAGAAAGCAGTCCCGCCAGCGAGTGATTCCATGGCTGGTTTGATACATTCCCAGATGGCTGGATCTTCGATGTAGCTGAAGTTCAGTGATCTGTATGTCGAAGAGCAACTTTGTCAGGTTTCGCAATTTATGAGCTTACTGTAATACTTACAGGCTCCATGTCTTCTTGCTCTTCTCCTTCATAAATGCTGATGACGGACCAAAAATGTTGCCCAATGGTTCGTGGACTTGGCTCATGGTGTTGCGCTTAGTTGTATGAGGGCAGCAGGATACCGAGTAAGTAAAGATCTAGAGACGCGCTGCTTGAAACATGTGGCAGAACTGAATGAACGTAATACGACTGCTGTTGTGTGCACCTTTATAGTGTGCCGCGATGTTGGGCACCCTTGTTGGATGACAGCTGAGGAATGGCAGGGCTTGGGTTCATGGCCAATCAGTCATTTCAACAGGTATCGGGGTTCGAGCTAATGCAGGAGGCCTACCATCGACGATCAAGCTTTGAAATCGGGGATGCGACAGCCAGTGGAGTAGAACACCAATGATCGATCTTAGTTTTATGGGGGAACATGCATGCATTATCATATCGTTCCAGCTAGGAGGCAAAGCAGCTGCGACATGCAATTCTACAACTCGGCATCTTGGGCAGACCACAATGAGATGCCCTTCGTCACCTCACCCGTGACATTTGTACTTACTTATCAGCACAGGATATTGTGTGCATTCTTTTCAAATTTAATGATATGATCATGCAACTAATGATAGGGCAACTAATGATAGGTCAGCTAGGGTTGTAAGTGTCGGGTATTGATGCAAATGGCCTCCCGAGCCATTTAAGAACGAGCATCCACGACCACAATTACGACAATTACGACGAAGATGATAAAGACCACTAGTATTTCTCACGACAGCAAGTCAATTGAAAACGCCTTGGTATAGAGAACATAGTGTACCTTATCTCGCATTGCTTTTACGAACTAGCTCCGTCCTTGTCAAGAGCAACAAATGGGTCATCCATGGATCTTTGCAGGTTTCTACTTATCCAGCCCCAGAATAACATCTTCCGCTAGCTACAGAAATCAACAAGACATTTTCACCGTTCTCCTCGTCCCTGTGATCCGCATTGGCGGAGCAAAACAAGACCTGCCTGCCTGAAGAGAAAGTAGCTAACTGAACATATTTCTAGAAAGACACAACCAAGACGTTCTTATTCGCGCTTTTTCATAACCGCGAACCGTGTCTATCAATCCTTCTTTCTTGGACGCAGTCTGATCTATCTACACACCTGTCTTCTTGGCCTGGTTTCGCAGGTATTCAAGGTGCATCTCCGTGACCGGGGACGGCAACTCGTCGACCATCTGCTCAACTTCTATTTGGACATCAATCCAGAGGTCACAACTATCATGGCCCTCAACGTGCCCGTCAACCTCTTCGAGTATGATTAAATCCGATAGATCATGAATACTTCCGAGGTACGAAGAGAAGGTGGCGCGCGGCAGAACAAACTCCTCCAATCTCATCTCTCGAATACGGCGAATAATTCTGCCAAGAAATAGGTCGTCGCAGTCCTCTTTTGTTAAGAAGACGGATCGATTTCCGAAGTTAACGTCAGAGCAATTGCAATGGCGTATCTCTGCAAGTTCTTCCGCGCAGCGACTCATTGTAAGGGAGTCCTGCATTGCCCGGCGGAGACAGTTGATCATCCGCTCTATGAGTTCTGCTCGCTTGATGGAAATGTTCTCTGCAAATCCTGATCAGTCTATAAATCAGAAAGGAATGATGGTAGTAGTTCGGCAGACAAGAACATTAGCCGATAGAATTCATACCAAGAATACTGGAGGGCTCCAGGCATGGAATTGTGTTCAGAGGCACACTGTGGACGTTAATGAGCTGACCAGATTCGTCCACGCGACAGTCCCACAAGATGTCCTTGAGCATCTTGCAAAAGCTAGCTTCGCAACCCAGCTCCCAGGCAATCCACACGTCGCGGTATTGTCCCGTAGTGTTCTCAGAGTTATCGAGGGGTAAATTCGGAATCCACTTAGAAGCCCACGGTCGTAGAACATGTGTCATATCGTACTTCTCTGTCACTATCAAGAGGTCAAAGAGCTCATCGCGTCCCAAAACCGTCGGTATGGGCTGGTGAGGGCCATGAATGATCGCCAGGATGAGAAAGACGGGAGCCGCCCTGTCCTCAGGCAGTGCAACTGTCCACGTGCCGTCGCGAGCTGAAGGGATAGACTCCGCGAACCTGCCAAAGAACATCGCGTTGAAGACCTTGGACCATCGCGCAACAGTCCTCGAACAAACGACGAATGTGCTTCCGTCTTCGTGAAAGGCTTCGCCCACCTTCAGAACCAAGTCGCCACGTGAGTCGAAGTAGAAGGCCTTGCCACAAGAAAGGGACTTCATTGCATCTCCAAGGCAGTCCCAGCTGGCACCCTTGAACGCCAAAGCCGCAGAGGGGGGCGAGATGAAGGCGGCATCGTCATGCATGGTGTGGCTGTCTGCCTCATCATCTGCAGCTGATGATGTTGTAGTGGGGATGCCCTGGTCGTCGAGGGTGTCTGTCGCTTGCGGCTGCGTTCCGTCAACCTGCGATCCTTCATCTCTGAGGCGGATCGATTCATAAGTAAGAAGCAGCCAAAGGCATTCGGATTGGAGGGCTGCGGTGGCTTCCTGTGCAGATAAGAACTCGGCGATTGCATCCGTCCGAGGAGATCCTGTACATCTCTTCTTTCTGTCGGCCATCTCGTGTTGACGATGTAAGGTTGATCGGCCGATGACACAAATTTCGATCACGTCAGAAGGAGAACTTCTTCAAGAGGTCTTCGGGGGCAGAAGCTGTGCTTGTTACATCCTCTGTTGAGGAAGGCAAGATGCTGAATCATCTAGATGATTCTTCCCTATATCACAAGCAGCTCTAGGAATACAAGTGCCCTCAAATATGCTAGCATAATAACGTTGACCATAGTCATATTCAAGACCATAGAATAATGAATAGTTTAGATGAAGGAAGTTTGCTTTATGATACCGACTGCCTAAGCGCCATTGTCACCCTCCTTCATGGATTCCAACTCCTTCCAAAGCAACCTAGAAAGACATGAATGAACTCGTTAGCGCAACTTCAGATAAGACTTCTTTGCCAATGCTCTCTTTTGGGCCAACAACCTTCTTTCTTCCGCAGAATAGAGTCCGTCTCCGGTCTTCTCTCCCAACCTTCCTCTTGAGATGTAGTTCTCCTCCAGCCAGTCCGTGTACCCCGCCTTCTTCGGATCCACGACGCCCATGTTCACCCTGTTCCGCTCCACCTGCCATACCGTGTCCAGGCCAACTTCGTCCATCTTCTCGCAAGGTCCCTTCTCGGCGTGGAAGAAGTCTCGGAACAGCGCGTCGATGTCTCGGGGCGAAGCCAGCTCTGCCTGAAGGACACGCAGGGTGTCTGACTTGACTGCAGACCAGATGCGATTGAAAACAAAGCCGACTGACTCATGGGGCAACGCAAGCGGGTTGAAGCCTACGCTCCGCATCTGCTCTTTCAAGAAGGGCATGAGATCCTTGTCGGTGGCTCCGCAGGTCATCAGCTCCACGTAGGTGTTACGTGGTGGAAGATGATAATGCGTGTTGAGGAGACGTTCCGGGCGAGAGATCAACGTTCGCAATGCCGATGTCGGCCATGTTGAGCTGTTGGAGGCAATGATGCAGTCTTCTGGCACGAGCGAGTCAACCTTTCCAAGCATCTCGCGCTTGATCTCGGGGTCTTCAGGCAGTGCTTCGATGACCATCCAGGGGTTGGCGCCGCAAGATTCCTCGAGGACAGTGCTCGTCGTGACGCGGCCGGGATGTGACTCGCGGACCGCGCAAACAGTCGTCAGGGCGTCACCGACGTAGACGACAGCAGACGAGAGCGCCTTCTCATTGATGTCCTGCAAAATGACGGGCCGACCAGTCGAGGCCCACATTACCGCGAGCCGGCGACCAAGGACCCCCGCTCCGAGAACTACTACGGGCCGAGAAGTGGGGTCCTTCGGCGGTGTCCATTTCGGAATCGGATGCTCTGTTTTCTCAGGAGAATGGCTTGAGTATGGGCGAGTTTGACGTTGAAATGAGGAGAAATTTGATTGCCGGCATTGAGTTGTAAGTCGGGCCTTCGGGAGGAGTGTTGCTGTCGCCACTGGCAGAAGTCTGCCGATTGGCTTTGTGATGCTTCGGTTTATGAGTGCGCTTGTGGTGGGCTGAATGCGCCATAACTGTTGGCATGTCTTTCTTGAAGTCATTGTCGCTGGTGCTGTCTTAGCGTCGATTTCGGTTCCGGGGAAAAAGTGGCCATTTTATGTCAATGGCAGAGTCGTTGCGCTCGCCCGATGATGATGGCACTGTCGCCTGATGGGAGTGGTCTGGGGAGTGGCGTGATGTTGTCGGCCAACGCTGGGCTGACCATGATCGCCAAGTTCGGGTCTTCGCGGCTCGCGTTCCAATTGCACAACACAACTGGGCAGTTTCCCCAGATCTCCCCGGAAAAGCCTGGTCATCTGCCCGCTCTGTCGATGCGGTTCATCATCGCGCCCCGCTCGCTCCCGTCATCCGCTGCGCCATCCGGGGATCGCGCAACGTGAGAGTACCCTCGAACATGGCGGGAGGGCAGAGCAGCTCGGTGCGGCAACACCACGCATTCTTCTCGCAAATATCAATCATTGACATTGTTTGACATCTGTCCGCCAGTGCTCTGAGTGCAGAGCAATTGATCTGCCCAGGTCCTCGAGGGGCACATCTCACCTGAAAACCAGCCACAGCGCCACACCGATATCAGCCACGGCTACGTCCTCGATGAAGATATTTTTCCCTGCAAGAGCCTAAAAACCCGTCAGGGTGGAAGCAGTGCTTATCTCTCCATCAGGGTAAGTCCATGTTAGCAAATTATTTTCTCTCCGTTGCGGTGCCCGCCCTTCCCTTTGCTTGAACAGCTTGACGGCGAGCCAAAGAGGCCCCACGTGTGACGTGTTTCTGCGATCTGCAGCCAGTACCTCCATAATTTGAATCATCAGTCTCTTCTATCAGCCTCCGATATGGTGTAATGGCTAACATTTGACGCTCTCACCGTCAAGCTCCGAGTTCGATTCTCGGTATCGGAACAGTTTTTTGACCTTTCGTACATGTCTATCATGATCTTATCTGTTCATGAAGGAGAAGATGATGTTTTTGAGCAGGAACATTGTGTGATTGTCTATTGTGCTGTGCGACGGCACATCCACTTTGCTGCAGGTGGCTCGTGCGTGCTGTTGGCGCCGAAAATTCTCCGGCAGCATGGAGCAGCGTCTTTTTTCCACCACGATACTGGATTGCCTCCTGAATCATCCACAGCCTGCGCGACAGAGTTGCACGACTCTTTTCGGATCGAAAACGCGCCAGTGGCCTTGAAAGGGGCTGCATAGGGCTCCCAGATGTGTGGCATACACCTCGTCGTCTCGCGCGACGACTCCCTGGCACTTCCCACAGAAACACGCACCTGTCTCTGCAATCGCGGTCCGGACCATCTTGGTGAAGTTCGCTCCCAGGCAGTACCCTCTGGCACCGACGCGCAACCCCTGCACTTGACATTCACATCAACGGTGCTGGCTTTGCGCGGTGACCATGTCACTAAGCAACCATTTCGCGACGCGTCGTCGGGCTCGGTGCTCTGCTGGAACGGCGAGGCCTGGAAGATTGGGGGCAAGCCCGTTGAAGGCAACGATGGCGAGGCCGTCTTCGCCCTGTTGGTAGCGGCCAGTAGCCGCGCCGCGGGCGAAGATGCAGTGCTGGACGCACTCCGCACGATCGAAGGGCCATTCGCGTTCGTCTATTACGACGCGTCGTCATCTCGGCTCTACTTTGGCCGCGACCGTTTGGGAAGACGGTCATTGCTACTCAATCGGAAGGATGGGCTGAGGCTGTCTAGCATCGCGGAGAGCACGTCGCCGGAGTGGTCAGAGGTCGGGGCGGACGGCATCTACGTGGTTGACCTTGCGTCATTTGTCCGCGATCCAAAAGTTCCCTTGGCACCTCGGCCTTGGTCTGATGAACCGGAGGGTACGGTAAGTCGTGGATCGCCGCGGGATTGGTCTCGTTTTGCTACTTACGATAATAGGTCCTCAACATTGGCGTCTTCAACACTAGATTACCGCCATCAGACGTTCCACCGCTCACTGCGACCTCTTCATCGGTCCGGGCGCTGCGAGAACAGCTGACTGAATCGCTCAAGCTGCGTGTCTTGAACGTACCAGAGCCGCCAGCCCACGATGCAGGAAACGACACGCGAATCTCTGTACTCTTCTCAGGTGGTCTGGACTGCACAGTCCTGGCGCGCATGGCAAGTGACCTGTTGCCGCCAGAGCAAGGCATCGACCTCATCAACGTTGCTTTCGAGAACCCCCGTCTCGCGTCAAAGGCGGAGAACTCTGCCGCTGGCGTTAACCTCTACGAGGCGTGTCCCGACAGAATCACCGGCAGGAAGTCTTTCGCCGAGCTGGCCGCAGTCTGCCCGGACCGCCGGTGGAGATTCATTGCCGTGAGTCCCCTCCACGTCACCTCGGGATTTCAATCACTAACCCGGAGCAGGTCGACGTGCCATACCAAGAAGTCCTCGCTCGCCGGATCCAAGTGATCTCCCTCATGTACCCCCACAACACCGAGATGGACCTCTCCATCGCTTACGCACTCTACTTCGCTGCTCATGGCATTGGCAAGTCCCAGAGTCACCCCTCCGACACCGCGGTCGACTACGCTACGCCAGCGAGAGTCCTCCTCTCCGGCCTCGGAGCAGATGAGCTTTTCGGTGGCTACGTTCGGCATGCCACGGCGTTCTCGAGGAGAGGCTACCCAGGCCTGCTGGAGGAGCTCAAGCTCGACGTCAGCCGCCTCGGAAAACGCAATCTGGGTCGCGACGACAGGGCTATGGCTCACTGGAGCCGCGAGGTGCGGTTCCCGTACCTGGATGAGGACTTTGTCAAGTGGGCAATCGAGTGTCCGGTGTGGCAAAAGTGTGACTACGGCCGCGGCGAGGTGGAGGGAGAGATCGAGCCTGGGAAGAGGGTTCTGAGGCTCCTTGCGGAGGCACTCGGCATGGCTTCTGTTGCTCGGGAGAAGAAGAGAGCTGTAAGTCCCTCGCTGATGGAGAGTTGATGGAGTCAAGCAGACGGCTTACCATTCGCCAGATACAATTCGGCTCAAGAACCGCCAAGATGGAAAGCGGAAAGACCAAGGGCACTACGCTCATCGCTCCTTAATGTTCGGATTGCAAGTGCATCCGAAAGCTGGCTGTGATGATCCACAGATACTTCCGAGCTGGTGGTCGCCGAAGCCATGCGTCCAGCGCTGTGCGTTTCTGCATCGCAGTAACCCTTCGCTGGACCGCGTGCGCCTAGGCTCAATAAACAAGACTACCAGCAATGACGTCGTAAAGGCAAGTCTGAGCCAGTATGCATCGATAGAGATTCAGTGGGTCTATACCACATGCTGGAATAGAGCTTGTGTTTGCGCAGTGATTATGACAAGGGCAAAATGCAACAAGACTAGCTAGCATCAGGAAGCGGATTAGAATGTAATGGCTTGCTAGCCTTTTCCTTTCGGTCCACATTTTACTTCCGACTAGTCTATTTAGCTATGTGAGAGTGGCAACAGCACCACCATCTGGCATCAGGGAATGAATGCTCTTTCAAATCGTTCGAAATACGGAAGGACTTGACAATGCTGAGCCATCAATATACATCAAGCCTCCACGACATGCACAGTTTCAGCCATCCGAATGTCCCATATCGTCTTTGCTAACCTTGTCAAGCCCATGCTCTCGGACTCCATCCATGTTGTCAGCCGTAAGACCTCAGACGCCAGTTTTCACCGCTTGGTTCCTCAGGTACTCCAAGTGCATTTCTGTAACCGGAGAATTAGCTTTCTTTACCAAGCTTTGAACTTTGGTCTGCATGGCTGGCAATGGATTGCAATGCAAATGCTCCACGGGGAGGCTAATTCTCATAGCGTTGATCGACTGTAGCAAAGCTTTAATGTGAGGTGTCGGCGTCTTCATCAACGCCACTTCTTGCCCCATCACTTTCTTAACTTGCTTGATAACAGAGCCGAATACCAGAGTGTTGCACATGTATGCTGGCAAAGTCAACGATAGAATATCCAGAGCCACCCATCCTTCGGCGGCACCTGGCTTCTTGCAACTAGTACATGTTGAGCGGAATTTTGTGGTGATGTTGTACCTTGTTTTGCATTCTGGGCATTCGCAGTACTGAGCCAAACCCCGGCATTTTGGCTGATTGAGCGCCACGTCAGTCATACTGTAAATGGCTTTGATCATTTGGCTGACAAGCTCTTGCCTGTGCTTTGTGACTGTCTCTGAATGAAAGTCAGAGAGAAAGATTTCAAAGAATTGGGAAGAGACGTACCGAGGATTCCGGGTGGCTCTAAACAGCTGTATGTGCTAAGGGCGACCCCATCGTGGCCAATTAGCTGTCCCTCGTCGTTGACCGAGGAGCTGAGAAGAAGGTCCTTTGCAAGCGAGCGGAAGTTCTCTGCGTATCCGAGTTCCCAGGAAACCCAGAGAAGTATCTCGTTGCCCTTGATTGAAGAAATCTTCTTGCATGGCTTAAACCACTGAGCCGCCCATGGCCGCACTATCTTTGTCATGTCGTATTTCTCCGTCACGGCCAGCGTCTGGTACAGTTCGAATTGACTCAGTGATGTTGGCACATGCTCGAAGCAGCCGTGGATAATGCTCAGGACAAGGAACATGGCTGAGGGAAGGTCCTCGGGTAGGCTGACGCTCCACGCAGCGTCAGCAGGCCTTGACTCTGCGAAGCCACCGAAGAGCATGGTGCGGAACACTGGTGACCACCGAGAGAGTGTTCGAGAACAGACGACGAATTCGTAGGCGACTCCATCCTCGCCAACTCTAAGTGTCAGATCCCCAATCGGGTCGAAGCTGAAGGCCTTTCCGCACTCAATCGTCGAGGTGGCGGGCTTAAGGCACTCCCAGAAGGGCTGGAGCACGGGGGTTTGTCTTCCTTGAAAATGTCTGCATTTATGCTGTCATCGTCAGACATCGTTTCTTCTCTCGACATGTTTGCGACTTCTCTGAACTGTTGTATAATGAGTTCGAGGTTCGATTTTGGGGAAGCGGGGAAGGCGAGATGAGGCACTTTGATTAACAATTAGTGGTGGTCCGTGAAGTGTTTGACATGGGGCGGGTTGCCGAGTCGTGCTCGGTATAGAGTCGGCGGCCGGGAAGAGCACCGTATGTAAACGAGGAGAATCAGAAATTCCTGCGCTATCTAGTGGCATGTGGAGTTTTTCGACGATTCCTAGACTATACTAGAATAATCTTCTGGTCGATAAACGTAAACCAATCCAAGTATGAAAACGGTGGATTGATACCGGAGTTCTTTGTCTCATCAGCCACAAAACCTTTCGTTCCTTAGATTGAAACATCACTGCTGAAGGGCAAACAAAAGTCGCTTCAATGTCATCCGCATCGACAACCAGTCAAGATTGGGCCAACGCACTTTTAACGGAGCTGGTCAGAACGATGTAATTCAATCTGTGTTTGGTCTCGGATACATTATTTGGCTTCGTGTCCATGAATTTGGAACTCAGCGATCTCAATTCTGTCAGCGTCCCACATCGCCCTTGCTGCCATCGTCACTCCAATCCCAAACCTCCAAATAGATCATACTGACACCTCACTTCATGCCTTGGATGCCGGTCTTCTTCGCCTGGTTGTCTAGGTATAGGATGTGCGCATCCGTGATGGGGGCAGAGACACACTCCACCAGCTTTTGCATTTCATCCTTCAGCGCTGGCAGAGGATTGCACTCCTTGTGCTCTTCGGGAAGATCGATGGTCATCGCCTGTATCTCCGTGGAAAGTTGATTGACACTTAGCAGGCATTCAGGCGTGGGTGTCTCCAGAAAGGCCACATCCTTCAGGCCAATACCTGCGACGCGCTTGGAAAGAGAGCCGAAGACCAAATCCCCACAGAGTCTTTGTGACAGATGGAAACCCTTCGTCGTTCCCCGATTGCATTTGCATTTGATACACGATGTTGAATGAGAAATATCACCGTGGCCGACGATGCATCCACAGGCATTGCATCGAACGGTTGGCTTCCCATTGCACGAGGGAGCTGTGTACAGTCTCTGGATCGTATTGTAGAGTAAGGTTGTGATATCACCTATCAGGACTTTCCTACCCTGGGCGATACTCTCTGAAAATGATAAGCTGAATGAAAAAGAAGTTGATTGGGCTGTGCAAAGGAGACATACCAAGAAGTCCAGGAGGCTGGAGGAATGGCGAATCGCTCAGACGACTCAAAGTGATTTCATCCGTCACAAGCTCCCCCTCGACATTGATCGGCTGCTGGAGCATTATGCCTCTCGCAAACCTACAAAAGGCTTCTTTGTGTCCAAGTTCCCAAGATGACCAAACGAGGGAAAATGAGGCTTGATTGTTGATAAGACTTCTTTCCTTATAGGGAGCGAACCAGCTCGAAGCCCAAGGGTACAGAATCTTGGTCATGTCGTACTTCTCTGTCACAACTAAAAGTTCGTGAAGTTGGTATTCCTTGAGGTCCCGGATGACATGATGGAAATGGCCGTGAATGATGCTCAAGACGAGTAAAATGGGAGAAGGGTCGTCGTCGGGAAGTTGGACGTTCCAGGCGGAGCCATCTGCAGGCTTGGATTCAGCAAAGCCGCTGAACAGCATGGCCTGAAAGACGGGCGAACTGCGGCCGAGTGTGCGCGAACAGACGAGAAAGTCGTAGGCTGAACGATTTCCACCAACTTTGAGAGTCAAATCGCCGTGAGTATCGAAGTGGTATGCCTTTCCAACCTTGAGGGGCAACATCGCGGCCCGGAGGCCGGGCCAGAGAGGGATCACGAAGACGGGAATATGTTCGCCTCCTTCACCGCTGTGGCTGGATATCGACGGATTGGTCACCCTGGCTACCGCAAGGTCGGCCGATGTATTGGGCATTGTGATTTCTGAGGAGAGTATCAGTTATTGATTGTCGAGTGCGCGCAAATGACCAGGTAGATGGAAAATATGAGGGAAAAGAGTAAAAAGGTGAGATTGCTACTTACTGAGACCGCTGGCGACACGACGTTTGTGGCGTCGTAATTGGTGTTTTGCTGAAACCGAAAGCTTAGTGTTTGCTGAAAATAATGTAGAGCTGAGTTCGGAGGGTGAAGGGAAAAGAAGATTCTGGGACTTTGACCTGGAGGGGACCTGGTCCCTCAAAGCCAGGCTTTTTTTTTTTTTTTTTGGAATGCTGGTGACCGAGAAGACGAAGATCCGCCCCGACGCAGAGATTCTAAGACTTTGCAGTCGAGAATTTCCAGCGTGACAACCCCCTCTGCAAGAAATTTCGCTTCGTATTATGGAAAGGAAGGAACAAACCGGCTGTCCAAGCCACTGCCTGCAACATGTCCTCCAGACCTTCCACCCCACCCCCATCCCCACCACTACAACTCTCGCTTTCGATTCTCGCCTTCGCATACATCTTGACTCTTACCTACCCGAGTTTCTTCTCCGTCTTTCTCTACCAACAACTTAAGCTGACATCGGCCTCTGTTGTGGCGTTCATCACCACATCCATTCTCGTCCTCACTGACGCTTCATTTGACCTACTGCATCCGCCTCTCGCGTTCGCTCACCTCCCGCAAACAAATTCTAGGTCCTGCAACAACCCACGTACATCAAGATGCCTGCTACCGAGGAGCCATGGCATTGGCTGAAGGCCGCCATGGAAGCGCCTGGTGCCTTTGTCATGGACCCTCGAGGTGATCTCCGCTTGAATGTCACCCCCGAGAGCGACATTGGGGATGAGGATCACAGCGGCCATGCTGCTTCAGACGCCACGAGCGAGGCAAGCGATGCCATCGAGCACATCCAGCAGTTCCTTGTCTGCTCCAAGGCGATGGCGCGGACATCGGCTGTGTTCTGCAAGATGCTTTTCGGACCCTTCTCCGAGGGCCAGCGCGACGACGACAAGGCCATCGATCTTGAGGATGCCATCGAGCCGATGTTCTTTGCCCTCTGTATCGTACACAGCCGCTACGATATGATTCGAACCGCACTCACCGTCAAGGAGGGTTTTCAGCTTCTCGTGGTCACCAAAAAATACGACATGACTTCGATCGTGCGTCCTTGGATTCACCATTGGGTGCCGTTGTTGAAATACATCGACGAAGATTTCGGCGACTTGGAGATGGTGGCATGGATCGCTTGGGAAGTCGGTGCTGAGAATATTTTCGAGCTGACCATCAAATTGCTCGCACTCCATCGTTGGGTCAATGAGGACGGAGAGCTTATGGACTAGAATGACAAGCTCATAAAGTTGAATTTCCATGTCGATGCAGCTGGCATCATAGGTACGAATCAACCAAAGCACTCCGATAATCTTGCTGATCAGAGTGACAGACGCTGCTACTGGGCTCAGACAAGATCTTATCTCTCGCATGCTTTCACCTTTGCAGCAGTACGCGCGGGAAATCACGGAAGGAACAACAGCATGTACTCACGACATTCAGTCCGACGCCTGCGATCCCGCCGCCATGATGAGCTCCATCGTTTCCGACTTGGAGTGGGCAGAAGTCGACCCAAGTCAGTTATACTCCACGGAGAACCTCGTCTACAAAGGATGTGCTGAAAACCTGCGCTGCGATATTGACCAAATGCGTTGTCCAACCTGCAAGTCGAATAAATGCAACCCAATCCGAGAAGCGACCAGAGTGGCGTGGAACTGCGAAGTCTCTGAAATGGACTCGCCAATGACGCAGAGCCAGCGGCAGCATCTCGCGAAGCAGGCCAGGATCACAGGTTGGAACCGCTTGGACTGAGGAGCTGCATTGCATAAGGGGATGGGAGCACACCTGATCCGGGTGGATGAAGATGAAGAGCACGAAAGGATGAGACATCGGATAGCTGCCATGGTGAATCTCAAGTGGGACTACAAAGCTTCGTTAGCTGAAACCGAGAGGGACAGAACACAGATAGGGGGCAACCTGCTGAAGACGCAACGAACATATGGCAGACAATCAACAGCATAACTTCAATCCGTCACAGCCCCAATGATTACTCAAAACAATCCATGAAATTCCTATGCTATACTTATGCAGCGTCTCCCGGCATTACTTCGCTCATGTCAAGCCACTCCATGGTAAACGCCGTCACAATTCTCGTCCAGTCCCTTACTGTTGGCATGTCTAGGTGCTCACCATCGTCCTCCGGCCTGTGCCACACGTTGGGGAATGGCGACGGGATCATGTGAAGAATATTGACGCCCTTCGCCATGAAAGGAACGTGATCATCACCAATCCCGCTCCGTCCAAATCGCGCCGGGTCCTTCTCAGCATCATTCAGGAATGGAATCGCGGGCTTGGTCTCCAGGATGCCGAGGTCGCGCATGCGCTTCTCGAGCTTGGCCATGCTCTTGTACGCCCAGTGAGTCGTCTGGAAGTACGACGGGACCTGCGGGTTGGCCGAGCCCAGGAGGTCGAGTAAAACGAAAATGCTGATCTGCTCGAGGGGGTTCTTGTAGTGAGACATGGCTGGGTTGTATGTTTTCTCCCACTCATCTGCCAATGACCTGCTTCATGTCAGCTCAGAGCTTCTCATTGAGGAAACTCCCAAACTCACCTCGCACCGTACAAAGAGTCGGTATCCGTCCACGCTTTGAACGCCTCCTCGCCGTCCAACAACAGAATCTGCAGTCCCATGTCCTGGGGCACCGTCCCGCCATTCTCACCAAGCGCTACCATCTCATCGTACATCTGTGTCAGATACGGGTCAACCGCCTTCGCAATGTGCATCAGCATCGCACACGGCGCCGCGCTGTCCGTCGCGCCAATGAAGCCCTCGGGCTCGATCTTGCTGTCATAGTGAGCCACAAGGGTGAACCAGTTGGCCTGTCCGAGCTTGTTCCACGGCGGCTCGCGGCGGAAGATGAGATTCTGAAAGGGAATCTGCTTGTCTCCCGTGGCGGGGGTCGTGCCAGTCGAGTTCTGCCACTCAATTGACCACTTGGGCAACTCCTTTCTCCAGAAGTTGACAAAGTGCTCCTGGGTCTTGACCTGGCCGGGCGTGCCTGGGACACGGGGAATGAGGATGGGGGCGAGCAGCGGGCCGTTGTGGATGTCAAAGTCGGCCTCGTTGATCGTGATGTTGCGCAGCGCGGTGTCCGACAGGTTCATGTAGGCGCGGACGGAGGCGGCGAACAGGAGGTGCAGCAAGGCTGACAGCCAGAGATGGCCGCCTCCTCTCACCAAAGGGAGGCCGGCCATGGCGGGCTGTGATGGGGACAGCAGACGCGATGGGATCCTCCTCGGGTTCTCATGAACTCATGCTGCGCCCTTCGATGAACAGGAAAGTAAGCCGATGTGTGCGCACGCGTGCGGGCTGGTGGTTCGGTTGATTGATGAGTCGGCGACGGAAGTCCGACGATTTGGATGAGAGTCGTGGCGATGGGTTTTGAGATTCCGAAGAGGTGTCAACTTTTGGACGTTCCCCCGACCGAGGAAGGGATGGCCCAAAGAAGTTAGAGCGAAACTCTCCTGCAACGCACCTCCAAAGGACCCCTGGCTGGTGTTTTAAAACAGTGGATCTGAGCTGATTAGTAAGGTGTTTTGCAGGCAGGGGCCTGTTCCTCGGCCGTTCGGCGCACCTCCACCTGCCTCCAGTCGCCTCCACATCGGCCCGTCGCGCACGTGCCTTCGCGAGCGCGTTTCCTGTCCAGCTGTCGCGATCAGGTCCGAAGCATTTGGCAGCTGTCAGCGATGTGGTTTCCATTTGTTTTCATGTCATCATGCCAAGAACAGGTAGACCCAAGATGGCAACAGCAATGGCGCAGCATCGTATCTTGAGCGCGAACTAGCAATAGCGCCTCCTTCGAGCCTGCCACACAGGAACGCGAACATCCCGAATCCCTCGCTAGCCTCTGCAATGCAAGTCGGCACGTGTGGAAGTTTATCTGGGTCCAAGGGGCTAAGGCCAAACGCCAGCCCACCTCCTCGACTCCTGTCAAAGGGAGCACGATCTTCAAATGGACGCAGGGAGTCACGACAAACAAGCTAATTCAGTATCGTAGGTATCATATGCCATCAACTCTACATCAAACCCTTCAAAAACATTCCTCCGTTCTTTCTCATCGTGATCAACATTAAACCCGAATTCCCCCAAACGTGGCCATGGACGTCTCCATTTACTTCAAGCACCGCCGCCCGCCGGCTTCATGAACAAGCGTTCCCTCTTGCAGAGCAAGCTGCTCACAAGAACCACCGCGCCAGCGACGATCACCAAGATGTACGGCAAGTTCAGAGCTTCGACGATAGCATCCAGAATCTCAGCCTGCATGTCCGGAGGCAATGTCTGCACAAAGTCTCCTCCGACACCAGCAATGGCAAGCTGGATTTGCTCCTCTGGGACGGTATCCGGAAGAATCTCCGTCAGCCGCTTCTCGGCCCTATTCAAGAACACAGCATTGCCGACCGCCAGGGCAATGTTGATACCGCTCGTCTGGGCCAGTGCCATCATCGACGACGCCACGGCCGCCATGTCCTCTGGCACACTTGCTTGCGCGATGGAGAAGCCCGCCTGAGTAAACGTTCCGACACCGGCTCCGAGCATGGCCGAGGCTCCGTATACCCAGGCCGTGCTTGTACTCGGCTCGACGACGTACATCAGCGACGACGCAGCGACGACAATCGCTCCGCCGACCGTGAACCAGGGGAAGTACAGCCCACCAGATGGATGCGACAGCACGCCGCCCTGGAGAAGCGTAACAAAAACCGCGAGAATGATGAATGGAAGCAGACGCACAGCAGCGTCGATGGCGCTATCGCCGCGCGTGAACTGGAAGAAGACGGGGATGAAGTACACCGGCACGAAGATGGCACAGCCGCCCGAGGCAGTGATGCAGAACATGAGGATGATGGTGCGGTAGTACTTTCTCGACACGATGAGCTCGACGGGGAAGAGGCGACGCTCCTTGGTTGTACCGATGCAGTATGCCTGCTGAAGGCCAAAGACGATGAAGAGCACGCCAGCGACGACGAAGAGGGCGATCTCCTGGCCAGAGTCCCAGTCGTACATGACACCACCGAAGCTGATGCTCATCGTGAAGCAGATGATAGCGCCGAGCATGAGAGGAGCGCCGACCCAGTCGATCTCCCTGAGGCGTTGCCACAAGGAAGCACCAGGCTGAGGGTCGGGGGAGGGAAGCATCCAGAGGTACACTGGTGCAGCGAGACCTCCGATGGGGAGGTTAATGTAAAAGGCCCATCTGCCCTTGTGTTAGTAGATTAAGCTTACCGTCAAGCAGGAGACTTACCGCCATGTCGCCCCGGAGTCGGCAAATGCACCACCAACAACAGGTCCCAAGACAGTTCCCAAACCCCAAGTCAACCCAATGGATGCAAGATACGCAGGCCGCTCCTGTATCGTCGTTGTGGCAGCAATGAGTGTCATCACCCCGAGATACATGCCCACACCCCCAAGACCGCATAGCGCACGCCCAACGATGAGAGCATTCATTGTCGGTGCCGCACCACACACCGCGCTGCCCACCTCGAACACGACGACACTCCCGATGTACAGCCACTTGGGCTTGAGGTGCGAGTACAGCTGGCCGAAGAGCAAGTTCGTCGACGTGGCAGCCATGATGAAGGCGACGGCCAGCCACGCAATGTCAGTGATGGCATCGAACTGCAGCACGATCTGCGGCTGCACGTCCGCTACGACGGTGTTATCGAGCGCGAAGAGGAAGGTCGAGGAGAGGATGGCGAAGACGACGATAATCCAGCGGATGCCGGTGACGGTACGGACGGGCCCAGAGGTGGTCTCTTTTGTGGCGCCACGCTCTGTATCGGTGTTGTCGCCTGAGACGGGGCCCTTCGTGGAGGCATTGTCGGCCTCTGCCTTCTCCAAGGGGCCTCCCGTGGGTAGAGTGCCTGGCTGCTTCTCGGTTTCGACGGCCATGATGTCAGTATGGGATGGAGATGGTACAGAACGAGGGTCTCAGGAGGTTACTTTGTCATTCAGCGGATCGAAGTGAACCGGGAGCCTGGGACACGGCGCGCCCATATATCACCTCCCTCGCCCACCATGAGGCCATCAGGCAAGCTGTCAGCCCAATCTCACGGCCTCGGAATGGGATCATCAGTGTCGTAAGCTGCAGGTTGTTCTTGGCTCGTCCACCCGGTCGTCCTCAGTCATTGCACCAAGTCAGCTTCTGAGGCGTGCCGAATTCGCCAGCTAGGCTCAAACAGCCTCGTCATCCACCTATCGACGAAGAAGACGTCTCTGAACGTACGGTTGGCTCTTTCAAGCAAGAAAGCCCCGAGCAACACTTTTCAGGCCATGAAAGCTGCGTGGAGATGAGGTCAAAGAATGCCCATCCCATTCGCATATCCGCTCTCAAAGACTGCCTGCCAAAGGGCCCCTGCCTACCGGGTACCTCACACCGCAAAGATACGAGAGCTGCATGAACCCATCCCACCACTCCAGCCAAATCCGAATCATATCCCTAACCCGTCGCATTCCGCCTAACCACCCACCCGGTCGGCCACCTTCTCTCAGAAACCCTTGACCCGAATTTGCGAAAAGGACCACCTTCAAAACCTAACGCTGACGTCTTGCATTCCAGAAGCGCCACAAACGGTGACTCCCAATCCGCACGCACCAACCAGACGCATCATAAACAGCCCTACGGAGACTCCCTCCCGGGACGCGATATCGTGGTCCAATCGTAGCCGCTGAGGCTGAGATAAGCTCGAGCAAACGTGGACAGCACACCGACGCCATGGCTTTGTACCGAACCTCTATCACCGGCACCCTCGGAGTTTGCCATGAGCTGCTGGAATTTGACTGCGTATTGTGATCCAATCCTCTCCATTACTATCGTCCATCGTGCCCTTTTGCGTTCCGCCAAGGCCACGTCCGAAGCGCCAGCGGCCGGCCGTCAGCAAGCGCTGCGTCAAATGAGATGCCCACCAGCCTTCGATATTGCAACATGGATGTCAATCTCTCCGAATAAGCCGCTGCGTTGGCCTAGGCCCAAACGGGACGCACGTAATATCAGACCAATCGCAGGTACGCATACAGGCCCTGTGAATGCTTGCCGCTGTAACCTGCAATTGCTTCTTTCAACCGCGAACACATGACATGCGCGTGGTGCTGACCCGGAACAGCGGTCATTGGCTCTGCGCATCTGACGGCTGTCGGGCTTGTGTGACATGATTCACCCATGATTGTGCTAACATAGGCTACTGCAAATTAGCCTGTCTTGAAGCGAATGCTTATTTGCTGGGCCGTCATGGTCAGTAAGAACATCATTCGATGATTCAATGTGCCTTGCGCTGTCCAATTGGCGAAGGAATGTTTGAAGAATGCCAAGTCCATCACTTCACGATGAATCTCAGCCACGTAGCTAGAGCAAAAATTTAAACTTTTCGTTACTATGGACTATCTTCTGCCCAAAACCTGCGTGCTGCAAGGATCCATCTCGCGATATGGCCATCTACCTATGTGGCGGTACATCCTTCGCGTAGAAAATCCTCCCTGTTCCTCAAATGCAAACAAATATCAACGTCTTGTGCGACGTCTCGTAAGCAAATTCCGTAAGTTGAAGAAAACCGGCCTCCTGTTTAAGCATCCTCCTCCGTCTTGAAGATCACCGAGACATTCTGAGCACCAACTTGCTTTCCATCGTGAAGAACGGCGAAGTCGACGCTGTTTCCAGAGCAAGTCATCTCCACACTAAACTCCAGCCGGCCAAGCATCTTGCCTGTGGGGCTTGTGTAGCGCCTCAGAGACTTGAAGTCGATCTTCTTGGACCAGGTGATGGTGCAAAGCTCTTGGACATCCTGGGTGCAGGTCTTGGGAGCAGGCCACGCAGATGTGGCATAGATAGTCTCTGAGACTTTCTTCGGAGTCGACTCTAGGAGGCGGTAATACTCCTTGCGAACCGGATCGGCAGTTGAAACGTCAGTACCCTGCACGTGAGAGTCAGTAAAATGTTTCCCTGCCAGCATGATCTAAAGCCGTACCTGCTCAAGGAACCACTCCATCTGGTTTCGCACCATCCACTTGTGCTCACTGGTGCACCAGTACTTGTCCTTGGGGTCGTGAGTAGAAAAGTCGAAAGGCATACAGTACGTGACACCGTAGCTCCTGCGAGAGATTCTTGAAGTAATTCCAACTGAAAGACCGGGGGCAAGATTGCGAGCGGTCAAGCCGCTGATGACTGCACCACGGCTGATGGCGCTCCAACTGTTTTGTGTTAGCAAAGAAAGGTATTGTGGGTTATTTTTCCTTACGGCTTGTTGCCCGATCCTTGAAGAATCTCAATTCCCTTGCCGATGATAGCCTGAAGACGCGTCCGAAGGTAAACGCATCGACCAAAGCCTCCGACCAAGATGACTTTCTGCAATTTATGTTAACAGCCAGCCTTCAGCAAGTTTGGGAGCAACCCATACCTTGGGCTTCTTATCTGTCTTTTTCAGGACAGCGGCAATCTGCTTCTGGACAAGCTCCGCAGTCTGATCGATGACAGGGTCGAAGACGGTAAGAAGGTCATCGCGGTCGAGAACCAAGTTCTTCTTGCGCTTTACTCCACGCTGAGAGGTACCCGGAGCGCGGCACTCAGCAGGCAGACCAAAAGAGAAGTCATCATTCTGTCCATAGAATCCTGTTTTGATTCCGTTCTCCCAATCATCGTTGAGAAGCTTCTTGGCCTCGTTCTTGGGTACATTGGCCCACGCTTCAGAGGTGACCTTTCTCTTGATGAGCTCAATGAATGCGTCATCAAGGAAGACACCGCCACAAAGATCACCATCTCCTTCGACTGCCTCTCGAACCACAAAGGGATCCATACTGAGGATCTCATAGCTGATGAGGTCAACGGTACCGCCGCCAGCATCGCACACAATAATGTGATCACCGACCTAAAAGCTAATGTTAGATAGGAATACCAATAATATCAGAGGATATCTCACAAAGATGTTCGGTCGCTTACTCAAGTCCCGAACGGTTGCAAGAGCAGCAGCTTCAGGCTCAGAGATGAAGGACAAAGTTGTGTCTCCAGCAGGGCGCTCCTTCAAGATGCCAGCGCTGTCAACAGCCCTCCGCATGCGCGCCTTGGCATAGTCGGGCCAAATGGCTGGAAGAGTGATGACGACTTGAAAGCGGCACATATCCACAAGATCCTGGCCAGCCGAGGTGATGATGCATTCGATTGCATGGTTCCAGAAGCGGGTGAGGTACGCGCTGATGACCTCAACCGGGTCCTTATTCTCCTCACCTACCATCTTGCGAGCAGCGGAAATCTGCGAAGAGTTCTTGACCTTCTTGGGAAGGTCCTTCTCGTCCACCAGCAACAACTTGAACCACCTCATAGGCTCTTGCTTTGCGTTGGGAGGAATGCCATAGCCCCAGGAGATGTTTCCCCGCTTGCCGGGAAAGAGAATGGCGGACGGCGCTTTCTCTTTATCGGAGTTGAGGTTCAGCTTAGATTCCCATCGACTGATTACCTCAATGTCGTTAGGCTCGCCCGAGTAAGCCCAGCTCGCACCTGAGAAACTGCGTCAAGTGTCAGCTTGAGAATTGAGAGTGAGATCTTGCTGTAAACTCACGTGGTGCCGAAGTCGATTCCGACGATAATGACATGCTCTTCTTCATCTGAGTTGTTGGCCATTTTGGCAAGTGTGCTAAGTATTGAAATTTGCAGTCAGCTAAAAGCGCGAGAAGATGGTATGCAAAGTTTGGTATATGAGATCACTTCGGGGTAAGAAGTCGAAGGGTAGGAACAGGCAGCTCAAACCAGAATTTGGAAAGCAAAGAGGGGAATGAATGGGCTTGAAGAAAGGAAGTGAGGCCGTACTGAATTTGTAGACTTACCTGAGGCTATTCTTGTTTGAAGTCTTGAGGCGATGGAGATAATTGTGAAAGACTTTGGATGTTGTTGTGAGGATGGAAGAGTTGAAGTCAAGTGAAGACAAGAAGCAGGTTTAAATAACCAAAAGTGGAGAAAGATCAGTTGAGATTGCTAAATATTGAGGCAGGAGCGGCCATGGATCTGAAATAAAGTCGATATGTGAAGACAGAAGACGTTCCTGCCTTTTCTGTGATTTATCAAGTGAGTATGGCCTGAAATCTCAGTAGGTCTACCCCATCGTGAAGCTTTTTTAGGTAGAAACGGAAAGAGCCACAGGAGCAAACTTCTAGATTTGGCTACTTACGTGGTGCCCAGCACTTTTCAAAATAAATACCTTTCTTCTGCTCCCCTTCTCAATCTCTTTTCTTTTCCTTCTGCCAACCTACTTACCATCTTTCACAAACCCAACCCAACTCACACCCAGCGCTTGGGTGATACAAAGACACCATGAATTCAAAGGTGAAGAAGGTAAGAATCAACATGGCTGTCGTTGAAATCTGAATGTAAATTATTTACTCATCATCTCATTTTAGGAAGAGCAAAGCTCGACTTCTTCTCTTGCCGAAATTCCATCTGTCACTCCCAAGGAACATGCGCGAGCAAAGAGCCTTCCAGCTCCTGCCACGGAGCATTCCACAACCGTCATGGCCGACAACCCTTCCACGCATCAGCAACTCCATTCGCAGTATTCCGCGACCGTCATGGCCGACAACCCTTCCACATATCAGCAATCCCATTCGCAGCATTCCGCGACCGTCATGGCCGACAACCCTTCCACGTATCAGCAATCCCATTCGCAACATTCCTTCGGCACGAAGAATCTCTCCGAAGTCATAAAAAAGAAGAACAAGACGATGAACAGACAGTGGAGAAAAATCAAGAAGCTCGAGAAGGAGCTTGAGAAGTGCAGCAAGCCGCGCCCAGTGCAGCAAGACGCGAATGTCATTCTTCTTCGAGCGGAGGTTGAAAAGCTTAACAGAGAGTTGCTCCTGAAGGAGGAAAAGTACACAAGCAGGCAGGAGTACGTCGTCTCGTATCTTGAGAAATCGATAAGCAATTATCGTGAACAACTCCACAAGGCCGAAGAAAAGGACCTCCAACAAACGCAGACAGTTCAGCATCTTCAGGATCAGATCTCTCAGCTGGAAGAAGGCTATCAAGGAGCGATTCAACAGCTTCAAGTAGACATTTCAACTCTCCAGAACAACAACAAGAAGCTCACGTCTCAGCTCATGGAAAAGAAGGCATCCATCGCAAAGGCAAAGTCACTTGCAAAGGCAGGCAAGGTCTCGGACGATGCGATCTTGAGTCTTTGGAAGAAGATGAAATATAGCATCCATAACCTAGCCTCCACGATCCTTACGGAATGTCCTTCATGGGAAGAGATCGAAGCCAACATCAAAGCCCCAGGTTGCTTGCTCAGCATCTTGAGTAAACGCATTTATGGCTTTCTCCAAGACGAGGACACGAGATCCAGCGTTGTCGAGCTGCTCATCTGGGACATGCTCCTGCGAGAAGTCTTCAAGCCATTCTCGCAGACGCTCTCAGGCGTATGCTGGGGCGGTTTAGAGGGTGAATGCTTTTCTGTCATGGTGGAGGGCATGGCAGGTAAGATGACCATAACTAAAATATCGCCCATACTATCAACTTGTGGCTAACACTATCCAATCCAGGTACTGCCTTGAAGAAGGATGCAGAAGCTAAATCATTCTTCCATTGGAAAGCTGAAGGCGGCAGAATGATTGGAGATCTGATCGGAGTCGACAAAGAGAAGCTTAAGCAGGTTGCCGACGATCATGCTGCGATCTTCTACCTGTTTGTGTCTCGAAACGGAGTTCGCAACCACAACGGTATGGACAGGCTCTTCAAGAACCTTTGCAAGATCATCGAAGATGCACTGGTTCTTCATGGCATCTTCATGGCATCGAAGGCACATTTCATGCTAGACCGGCCCCATGCTCCGAGTCGTGGCCGCCTCACCCGTTATGACGCTGACTGGATGGAAGCTGAGTCCTGGGTGAAGGAACCTTTGGACCACAGGAGCTCCCTGAAGTTCCCCATTTCTCCGGGTCTCGTCAAGTACGGCACAGCCGATGGAGAACACTACGACCAGCAACTTCGATTGGTCAAGGCTCGTGTTGCTTGCCACTGAGAAATACTGATTTGCGATTTTCTTTTCTTTCTTCAACATCCATTTGGAAGGATGTTCATTTGCTGCAAGGTTGCATATCATCCCATCACGATTGGGAATAATTGTTCAGGGAAGTGCAATGAGACAGCAACATAGCACTTGGCATCAGATAGCATCATAGACAATTGCAACCCACATATTCTTACATGCTGTGCTGCATTTCGAAATTTTCCGGGGAAAAGTTCGTGATGATGCGTTAAACTTATTACGAGGTGAATGGATGCAAACCTTGCATGCTCATATCGGGACCTTTTGGACTCTGGGGCAAACGCATAAGAAAAGGGAAGTAGACATGCTTTCAGGCTGTCAATGTCTCAAACTTGAGAGGCTGTCAAGGTCGCCGCTGTTTTCTTCACCATCTTGGTCTCGCCCGTCTCCGAAATAATTGCCACCACAACTATATGACCAACGCCTCGCACTCGAAAAATACCAACAGAGAAGATCTTCCAAAATCGCCCCCAAGCCCACCCGTCTCGCATGATTCTCCCTTCCCGCCTGCCACAAACACTGCCCATCATGAACACAACCACCATCAACCCCTCCTCCCCCTCCGCGGAGCTTCTCAAGCAATACCTCTCCCTAACCACCCACCTCTCGCCCTCCTCCGCGACCCTCACACATGAATACCAAACCGATGACACCCCCAACACCGCCGACGCCGCAGAAATAGGCGAAGGCTGCTGCGCCACAATCTACGCCCTCTCCTCCTCCTCCATAGCCAAAGTCGCGAATCCCAACAAGCAAAACGAGCTCTGGAACGATTTCGGCGCGCACCTCTCCGTCTACGAGGCCATCTCCGCCATACCCACTGCCACGCTCGTGCCGAAGCCGGCGTACTACCTCCACGCACAAGACGTAACCACCTGGCGCGCGGCGCAGGCCAAGAAGATACCCAGCGGTGAGCCGAACGACGTCCTCTGCGGTGAGCGCATCCCGCCCCTGCCGCGGATTATTCGCAGATCCCTTGTCGACGTATTCTGCCCGAAAGAACAAACGGCGCAGGTGCTCGAGAACAAGGATAATGACGCTTGTCTGGTGAGATTGTACCTCGGACTCCGGAGGCGGAGCAGTGTCCAAACGCAGGACAAGTTTTCCCTGCGGAACTTCGAGCTTACGCTCGACAAGATGGAGCTGCTCGGCCTCGACGCGATGCAGTTCGTCGCGCCTATAGCGGAGGCCTTGGCGGTGGTGCACTGGAAGGCGGGGAGCGATGGGCGCGATGTCGAATTCGTGCTTGGCGGGCCACCGGAGCGGAGGATATCTGCCGAGGGGTTTGGAGTGCTTGACAGCAATCTTCACACGCAGAGGGTCACGACGTGGAGGAAGGCGGGGGCGGTGGACGAGGTAGCGGGCTTGCAGCAGAGGTGCGTCTACGTCTGGTTGTTGGATTTTAACCAGTGTTCTAGGATCAAGGCGGATACGCAAGGGGTTCAGATGGCGGCGGACGCGTATTGGGATAATGATCCGTATTATCCACGGCCCACGAAGAACGACGACAATCACAGCACCGAGGGAAAGATTTGGAGGGAATTCAAAAGGGTGTATTTGGCAAAGGGTAGGGAGATACTTGGAGACGAAGCTACGCAGCCGGAGGACTTCATTTACTCTCTTGAAGCCAAAGGACAAGAGAGGCAGCAGGACTTGGTCATGGCTGGGCCCCCCAAGGCAACAAGCATTGGGCCAGGGAATGACTCCAAGAAAAAGAAAGGCAGGGAATATGTCGGTTTCTGATCGGGATCAATCGCCGCACGACAATACAGAAAGATGACGAGGGAAAGGACGATGCCTACCGGCAAGAACACCAGAACCCGGCATCACGAGCAGACGGTGACAAACACCGACGGCGGTGGTCAAACCAAGCACCGTCCGACCCCGGATTCCCACTACCGACCCCCCACGCCGAGTCGGTGCCGGCCGACGATGTCCCACTGCGATGATAGGACCAGACCCCGGTCTCGCGCCATCGAAACGGCGCTTATCTCCGCTCGCGGCGAGCCCTGCCTCCCCATCTCACTTACCCCAGCGGTTGTTCGCCTGTAGATCCATCGCGAATGGTCCCCTCACCAAGCGCGTCATAGAATAGCCTGGTAATTGCCGAAAAATATCGTGGAAAATTTCTCTTCCCTCGTGCCAAAGACTTCACCCGAGACATGTGTTCGCGACGAAACTGAGAGTTTCTTCTGGTTTGCAATCTTGGACTTGACCGTTGCCCGCCCAGACTCTCGAGATCGCGCAGTGCAATGACTTCGTCACCTGCTCTAATCAATTAGCCTCCCCAACGGACTTCCGCGCGAGCGCTAACGAGCGGGAATTTTCTCAAAGATAACGGCTCTTGAATACGCTTCCATTTGCCAATTGTTTGCTCGCAAAAGCGTGTTTGAGACGGCTTTGAAGGATTCGTTTTGCCGCTGTTCTACGGCGCGCAAGAGGCAAGATGTCGGAGAAGCGAAAGTCTGCTGATGGCAGAGGTGGTGACACGGACAGGGACATGGTTGTGGCGTCCGCCACTGCGGCAGCACCCGCCAAGGAAGCTTTCAGCCCGCAGGATTCAGCCCTGAACTCTCCCCGGGATGGCTTCGCAGATGAGAAGACGGAGAGGATACCGGACGGCGACGCTGGGACGACTTCGCCGTCGTCAAGTTCGGATTGTGGTTCTCAGAGGATTGGAGATGGGAAGGGACGGGACGGGGTCTGGAACCTCGTGGTGAGGGTGTTGACTTGGACACCGAAGAAGCTTCGATACGACCCGAACAACCCTCCGCAGTTTTCGCTGGCGCATAACTTTTTGTATGCTGTGGTGAGTGTCCCGAAGTGCGCCGAGAACGACGAAATACTGATGGATGCAGGCGGCGACCTTTACCGTTGCGGTTTTGTATTACAACCAACCCGTGTTGAATAAGATTGCCGAAACATTCAACATCAGCTTTGAAAGGGCGTCGTCAGTTGCGACGCTGATGCAGGCTGGGTATGCCGCGGGCTTGCTCTTTATTTGCCCGCTGGGCGACATGGTGCGGCGACGGCCATTCATCTTGATCCTCATCTGGGTCACGGCGATGCTGGTAAGTCTTCCGTCGCAAATATTGAAACCAACCTGACAGTATCCAGTGGCTCGGCCTCTGCGTGACCAACTCCTTCGCTGTCTTCTCCGCGCTATCGTTCCTCGTGGGAGTCACCACGGTCACGCCGCAGCTCATGCTCCCTCTTGTCGCCGACATGGCGCCGGCGAACCGCAAAGCGAGCTCTCTCTCCATCGTCACGTCAGGTCTGATGCTCGGCATGCTGATCGCGCGTCTGCTCTCAGGAATCGTGGCCAACTTCACTTCGTGGCGCAATATCTACTGGTTCGCCTTCGGAACGCAGTACCTCCTCTTGGTTCTGCTCTTCTTCTTCATGCCGGACTACCCATCGACGAACCCCGACGGGCTGAACTACTTCAAGGCGCTGTGGACGATCGTGACCATGTTCTTTAGCTCGCCAATCCTGGTGCACGCCTGTCTGATCGGGTTCTGCATCAGTTCCATCTTCACGTCCTTCTGGACGACACTAACGTTCCTGCTGGCCTCGCCGCCGTACGAGTACCCCTCATTGACGATCGGTTTGTTTTCGCTCATTGGTATTGCGGCGATTTGCGGCGGGCCGGTATACGGACGGCTCATCATGGACCGGTATGTGCCGTTCATGTCTTCAGTGCTAGGACAAACGGTCATCTTGATCGGGTGCCTCGTCGGCGCGTTCACAAGTACAATCACCGTGGCGGGGCCAGTGATCCAGGCGATCTGCATCGATATCGGCATCCAGACGGCGCAGACGGCGAACAGGACGGCCATCTACACCATCAACCCCAAGGCGAGGAACAGGGTCAACACAGCGTACATGGTGTCGGTATTCTGCGGGCAGTTGACAGGCACAGCGGTAGGGAACAGGCTGTATGCGCAAGGCGGATGGAGATACAGCGGTGGCGCAACCAGTAAGTCTATGTCTCGCGCAGTTGTCTTGCGTGGCGAACTCGGTTCTGACGTGGCACAGTTGGGTTCATCGGGCTGTCTCTGCTAGTGACCCTGTCGAAGGGTCCCCGGGAAAAGGGCTGGATCGGATGGAGCGGCGGGATGAAGCTGCGCAAAGACGAGGCCCCGGCACCGAAACCGGTCTCGCCCGAGGACGGACAAGGGGCGGAGAAAGTTGTTGGGGAGGAGAAGGGAGCGGCGGTGACCGGGGCGGGCGGGGAGGAAAGCCGGCGATGACGAGCAGAAGGACGGTGAACGGTTTTCGGGGACCGGTGGAATGGCGTGTGTATGCAGGTCGGAAGTGTTGTTGACGGGGCTAATGCAACCCCAGATGAAGAACGGCCGCCGCAACGCCATGACTCGAAAGTGGCCGTGTTGATGAATCTTTGATGACAGCAGTTGTTTGTCCATTGGTGTAGTGTTTTGGGTCCAGTCCTTGTCTTCCCATTCTTCTTTCCTCTTTTTTGAGGTCCCTCCTTCCATCCCCTTCCACCTCAATCGCACCTGCCTCTTCGCATCTTTGGCAGGTCCCGTGGCAACGGCAGGGTGCGGCACAGCGGCATGACCCCGGAAAGAGACCCGCCCAAACGCCTGCCAAGACCCATAGTGAGGCCTTCCAGGGTGTCCAGAGTGGCGGAGTCTGCCTGGCAGTGCCTGGAAATGTCACTGGGCGAACTGTCCAGACCCCCCAAGGCACCCAAACAGGCGGCACACTCCAAGCAACAGCCTTGAAGCCTCAAAGCACGTCGCTGAAAGTCTCAGCGAAACACGGCAAAAACACCCCCGCAAACAACGAAAACTGGAACAGCGCAGCACCTGGCAACCGAACCTGCAAATGAGGCCCACCAGAATCACGTTTCCGGGGTCTCTGTGGCCACTGGATACCGACCGAATGGCGGATGCGACCCGACCCAACCACCCGCCACAAAGCCAAGATCGGCAGCCCAAACGAGCGAT